AGTGTCGCCTATGTATGCCTGACGACAAGTAAGTTTCAATTCCATCTCATTGTCAAGATTGCTTAATTGTTACTGCCAGTTACTCTGTGGTTTTCGCATCAATTGTTCCAATTGTTGTGCCCCATACAAATAGACAAACTAACACGTAATTTTAATATATTATGCGCTATGGGTGGGAAAAAAGCGGGAAAAATTGTTAGATAATTTTGACATAGATTATTGTATACCAAATGTGATACTAATTAGGGTTAATATGGTTAGGATTAATAATACAGACGGACGGACGGACAAGAGGAATTCAATAGCCCCGTGCTACACAGGGTGAGCTAATAATTTGTAACAAAATTCCCTCCGTCCGCGAGACATAATTGGGATGATTACGTGGGTTAGGTTTGCCCAGATCGAAATTACAGATACATATTCATATCTCTCATTTCCTTGTGACAAGGAAAGTAAAACTAATATTCATATTTTAAGCCAGGCATTTAACAACATACTTTTTAGCCTCTCAAACACAATGGATTCTTAGCCTTGCTGAGGATGAGCCACATACATACGTACTTGCATGTGTATATTTTGCAAACATATTTTGCTGAAAACATTTAACATTTTTCATTTATTACGAATTAATGTGATGTATCAATTTGTGGTAATGTGTTCCAACTCAAACTTTCCATCGAGCAGATATCTCGGTGAGGCAAAGTAAAAAATGGTCGCCCCATACTCGTACCGCTCCAATAACTCGAAACAATTTTCCAGTTTCTTGAAATCGTCTTGCCCACAATTTTTGAAGAGGTTCAAAATGGCTTTTCTCAACTGAACATAATCTCGAATAACTTTCTCATGAAGGGAAATAATTTCTTGGACGGCGGCATCTGGCGATTTCTCTTCGACGAGGATTTTGTGCATGACCGTGCCTCCAGTTTCGTTTTTCGCTAAGTCCTTAACTACACCGACGATATCGTTGCGCACGGCGCCCAGTGTGGAGGACGTGTAAAACAGGGTCTGAAATTTCAAAGTGCTCATTTACATATTAGGATCCATGGCTTACTAATGACATACAGATGACAGAATATGGACCAAGATATAGATAAATAAAACATGGACAAAAATATAGTCAAGTAAAATATGGAAAAACTAGCCTATAAGCCCGTCTTAAAGACGGTCCACATCAAGTTTTAAATCAACACAACAAAATCATTCGATGAAAGCACCATATCACTGCGGGAATGAACTAATTATAACAAACTTACAATTTGAGAGCAAAACAACATCTAAATATATTAAAACATCGAAAAGGCTGTTCCCTTAAACTTTCCAGTACATTCCTTCATTCAGGTTGGTTGCCAGCTTACATCGGACTTTTTTCAACGTTGCCAAGGAATTTTTTTAACGTTGCCGAGGAATTTTTTAAATGTTTTTAAGGAATTTTTTTAACGTTGCTTAGGAAATTTTTTAACGTTGGTAAGGAATTTTTTAACGTTGGTAAGAAATTTTTTAACGTTTCTATTTTTTAACGTTGTTAAGTAAATTTTTTTGACGTTGCTAACGAATTTTTTAACGTTGCTGAGGATTTTTTTTAACGTTGCTAAGGAAATTGTTTGACGTTGCCAAGCAATTTTTTAAATTTGCTAAGAATTTTTTTTGGTTACCCATGACAAAAATCATAACCCGAATCATAACCCAAATCATAACCGTAATCATAACCGAAATCACAAGCAAAATCGTATCCGTGCTGTGATTTGCGGAGCCAGGAAGCCCGCGGCCAATCAGAATACAGGAATGTCACGGAAAATTTCACGGGACGGACTTTTCGAAATTATAATATAGATATAGACACATAAAACATGGAAAAAAAATGCAGACAAATAAAACGTGGATAAAAAATATAGACAAATATTTGGAATATGGACAAAAAGTATTCGGGATAATAATATTTAAGGACACTCCACTTGTGGACATTTGAATTCTTAAAGCTTCAGGGTTTCTGTTTTGAAATTTTATAAAATGTCAGTTTCACAAACGCTAGGTTCAAATTCATAAATACTAAAGGAGGCAAAATCTCCTTAAGTTCAGACCAGATGTCCCCGACTACCCCGACTGAACACATCTCTACAGCAGAGGAGAAACAACGGAATAAATGAGAAAAGCATAAACTTTGTCAAGCCTTCAGCGTTTATTCACCTCTTCAGATGCAATTATTGGGAAGTCGTGTCTTCTGAAAATTTACTACTAATTAAATTTATGATCAAGTGATGCCGATTTGGTGATAATCTGCGCTGGTAGATTGACATAGATTATGTAAGATTTACTTTCAATTTCTACAAGAAACTCATTTCTAATAAGGGCAAATTATGTATTAACCAAACCAAAAGTTCCCATCTCACCTTGACCATCACATGGTCGAGCATATACTTCGGAGGGTTTCCATCTTCTAACAACATCATCAATTCATTCGAGCCAATAGCCCCGCAGGATATGTTTCTCCAGTGCGAAAACATCTCGAACGAATACCCGGTCAAAGTTGAGTCGATTAAACCCCACTCGCTCGACTGTAAATATACCTTCAATCCTTTTGTAAAACGATCTTTAAACGAAAAATAGTCTGGTACAATTCCACCCATGGTGGCATCCCATTCTGCATAACTTTCCAACATAGCGCGAAGCCATGGGTCTGAATTAGTTTTGATGGTTTCCTAGCACGAAATATGTTTAATAAGATTTGAATTAGTTTTAGAAAATTGAATCATTCCTGCTTGAAATCCAGGATACGAAATTATTTCACCGGGTCATCATCGACCAGAGGCTATGGTTTGATTTTTAAAATGAGAGCCCTGCCGGTCTTAGGATTGGTTTATTAAAAACGCCCCTACTTTAAAAATCAAACCATAAATATGTACTAATTACTTTACGGGATGGAAATAATCACGATCTCCAGAGCCGGTAGAATCACGTGCATTCACCACTGGAATTCTTAGAGTGTGCCATAAATCTTGGCCGTTGATATTATCTAATTTTTTTACATGGTAGAAACATGTGCCCATTTTTAATACCTCTGGATTTCCCCCAGTCCCAATGAATTTGTCAAGAATATCGAGCATCTCCATTTTTTCTGTGGTCCCCTTGAGGCCGCACGTGTCAACGAAATCGTCCAGAAGCCACCACCACGTGTGCAGCATGGCAAAGGCGAGCTCATTCTCGTAACTCGAGGCAAAGTAATAGACCGATTTTGTATACGTGGCGCCATTGAGGGCAATCTTTTCCAAGTATTTCGTCTCCTGGGAAGCAAAGTATCGCCCCAGGAAGGCGGCAACGTCCCGGAAGAGCTGTGTCGCTAGAATTGTAGCCGTATCGGGAATTGATTCCATGACAAGGGCTGGGGTCACTTGGTCAAATTGAACCGGAATCGGGGCCGAGGAAGGGTCGACGGGTAGAGCGAATTTTATCCGGGTCATGCCAACATTGTCGGACACAGTTTTTTCTCCTTGTCGTGGCGCCATTGTGGTGTATGTAGGACGGTGAACTGTGAAAATATATGCATTACATCATTTAGTTACATAACTTTAATAAGCTGCATTAAGATAAGTAAATTTACTTAATTATCTAATTCCACATAAACTGGGATGTATGTATCCCAATGAAAAATATGCTCAAATGGAATTTATTTTCCGTAAATAATTTTTTGATTCTCTGCTAAATAATTGACATAAATATTTCTGGTCAACGCCGTTGCTTCAGACGTATGTACATATATAGCAACACATGTAACATATGTATGTAACACCCGTGTGGGATAGGTGTCAACCGGTTTAAAAGGAGGCCTACTAACACGTAGCCCTTGTAAGTAGCTCAGGTCTCACGAGTCTTAAGCTAGATAATACCAGGAAGGTCGTTGTCTTATGAGACGTTCCTGATGAGTAAAAACACGTTTAATAAACTTTATAAACTTTGCTGCAAGTTGTAGTTTAGTACAAATTTAAAAAAAATGCCAAATGAAAATCGGGTTCGGAAATCCATAATAGATTTTCCAATATCCCATATTTGAGGGCAATTAATAGTTTATAACTGTAGATTTAAAATGAAATAGGTGATAAATATATTGGCCAAAAGTTATATAGGAAACTTATTTGCGTATTTATCGTTGATAACTTGAAGCCCTTAAACTCCCATGTAAATCGTGTCTGGTGTCTAATTCGGGTTGTAAAATTATTCTCTTTTATAGACCAATGAATCCTGAATTTAACCAATTTCAGAGCTAATAATTACTCAAAAAAAATTGCATCCGTGCGTCAGCTTCATTAACTTCATATCTTTCCATTTATCTAATTGTTCGCATCAGCCGATAATGTGTGAACTATGCAGAAAATTGTAAATGCAATTAATGTATACATATGTCAATTAATGATGCAATTAATGGTCATTTGTCACCTACTTATTCAGCAGTTATGGTACATACAGCTCAAAGACTAAAGGATGTCGTCGCATTTAAAATCGTCACGAGGAAAGTATTCATTTTATTTAGTGCCATAAAGTAAACCATATTTACTTAAATACCTGTGCGGGTACCCAGTTTTCACTAATAAGGAAAATGTGAAACAAATTTAGTTTATAGTTTTTGGAGTGAGGAAAGACTGTCATAATTAAGTATGCAGTTGGTGCATTATTCATTTCCTTAGGTGGTGAAATAAATATAATCCTAATATGAATACAATATTTATGAACATGGGACACTATAACATATCCCAAGGATATTGAGATCATCCATGAGTTGATAATACATAACCTCCCCTCCTTAGTATGTACATACATAGGTATGTAGGTAGGAGAATCTAATTTACTATTTACATGAGAAACATTTATATAGTATTTTCTGTATGATATGCACCCTTGAATGATCACTTGTATGAGCCTTTGGAACATAGTGTGTGTAAAATTGGTACTGGGTTTCAAGGTCCCACGTCACCATGTTAAAATTTGTGTGAACCTTTTCAGCAAAAAACTACATAATCTCCATAACTTTATTTATTATTTATAGTTTTAAGAATGTTTATTAACACGACATGTGTGAATTATCCGTCATTCGTGAAGAATTTGTAGAACCAGGCGACATTCGTAAATCCGGCAGGTATTCCCAACGCGCAGCCCAAACTACTTCCGTAAGAAGTCACACCCGCGAGACATTTTGAAGAACCAGTCTCACAAACTAGGGGACCACCGGAATCGCCGAAGCCTGGCAAGAAAAAGAAGCGGTATTTTTTGAAATGTTTATTCCCTATTTAAATTTTTATCCCCCAACTTGTAAATTAATTTTGGCTTGAGCTTAAATTTTAGAGAAATTGTTGAACGTAACAAATATTTGGTCCGTAAAACCGTGGAAATAATTTTTTATAGACTGCATGGTCATATTTTTTTAAAACAGCGGTAATATATTTTTTTTACTGTTCGGCAACAATTTAGTAGACAAAAGGATCATCCGGCCGTAAGATATTTACTACCATGGATTGATAATTACGACCGGTAAGAAACCGAACGGTAATAAACCACGACCGGTAATAAACTGGTAATAAAACTTAAATAAACCGCCTACTCTAAATACTTACAAACGTCTTGGCCAAAAACTCCTCCCGCGCAGATAACATCTTCATCTAGAGGTCCGTACGATCTTTCGCAAACCTGGCGGGAAACTATGGTCATATCCAGTTTTTGAAGGGGACCTTTCCACCTATCATTGTCAGGGTTTGTGCGCCCCCATCCAGTCGCCGTACAAACGGTGCCAGGCGCAGGCTCCACCTCGCAGAGGGGCATTGCTTTGACCGCGAAGTTCAGTTCGAGGGGTTCCGTAACCGTTAAAATGCATGCATCATTAGTTTTGTAATATCTGTGGGGATACAATTTTATGTTAGTAAACAGCCATAGCAACGAATTTATATACTCTAAGAAACTGGGTATTAAATTCTACACCCCGCGTATTACTATCTATGTGACAATACCCATGGGTATGGATCTGGTAATAAAATAAACCTGTATAGTATTAAGTTTAATACTTATAGGCATTAAACTGTGTACCACGAAGTAGTAATTTAGTACCAGGTCAGGGTAGAGTCACATAGTAATACCGTGTTTATTCATCTTTTTAAGAGTGTAGTAACAAAGTGGTAGTAAAAACTCTCCAATTAGGTAACAATCTGCAGCCCGGTAATGACTCCTTGGTAATAACTACCTGACTTAGCAATACTACAACAAATTGTTACCAAGCGGTGACAATAATTTCCATTAAATTCATTTTATCACCATTAATCAGTAATCAAAATTGTTTGTTTGCTTAAATAACGTTTAAAAAATTAATCTCACGGATCGTATCCTTAATAAATTCGGGGACGATTAACGGATCTCCTTTGTTGATTGGGTTCACTAGCATTTGCCGCCACGTGTGCGCCCGCCACGACGCGAAGGTCGCTCCATGTCGTTAAATAGTCTTCACAGCAATGTGCCTAAAGTTAGTATGTAGCAGATCTTTCATAAATCAGAGAATGACTACAATTTGTAGTTAAATTAGCTATATTTTCGTTCAAATTCAAATTTCTCTACTTGAACCAACTACGTCAAAGAATTTGGTAATTTGGACATTATTTCAACAATTTTGTAGTTAAAAAGGGACCGTTACGAGGTGCGGATTTATTGCTACACTCTAAAAAATTTTATTACCACGCGGTAAACATGTATTACTCAACATATTACTCAACCGTGCCGGTAAATTATATAAATTATATACTATTACTGCACAGTAACAACCCAATTTTAACATGAGACTGCCTTGCCACCCAACTTAACCAGGCTGGTAGTCTTTGCTACCACTTGGTGGAAGAAATGAATGGTAATAGAATGTTACCATACATACCATCCATTGACACCTAATCTTACCACACAGGCGTAATACGCGGTATTAAGAATTTATTACCGGATTTTTAAGAGTGCATATTATATATTTTTCAATGTAATTACCGCCGTTGCGATTTTTACATCGCTGAGAATCGTGCCGCCACAAATGTGCCAGCCCTGATCCTGGAGAGAGATTTGATACGGATATTCGTGCGGCTTTGCGTCCGTTCCTCCTACAATTTTTCCCGAAGAATTTACCGTATCATTGCTGGTGGCTCGAAACAGAACGCTCCCTTATAAATGCAAGACTTGTATTGATTAACCAGGTTTTTACATGATTTAAAGCGCAAACTAATTTACCCTGACAGATATCCACAGTTGCCAGGGAGAATATAAATGCCGCAAAAATTTTCGGGTACATGATACAATTCGAAAAATAAGTGAAATTAAAAAAGAAAAACTAGTGTACGCAAGCGAGATGGTTTAGTGATAAAACTTTTAATAAAATGGGGTAAAATTACCCGATTTTTATACTAGATTGTACGTGAAATACGGCACGAGTAGTGTAATAAGATTCTTTTCTCTCGCCCGATAACAATGTCAACATCTGTTGCAGGTTTTTCGGACAATAAATTGCCTGAAATTACTCACGTTCCGGGCCGATTTACTTTTATATTATATTGAGTATGACGTTCAACATACGTGTCAAAAGAAGCATCTGGGCTTTTAAATAATTCTAGCGTGACAATTACACATTTTATTTATTTTTGGGATTTTTTGAAACAGCTATAAGCAACAACAAGGTATTGACACTTGTACATAATAGAGAATAAATCTCACACAATTGACATTCACACATACGCCAAAAACTATTCCCCAAACAGCCATACCACGTGCAATATCTCTACTTTTCAACATTCATTAATTTATTTTACTTCAATTTTCAATTACTAAACATAATTCCAATTCAAACGCGCGTAATATACTGGAACTCTTTATTATCAAAAAAACACTAACTAATTACTGTACCTTCATGGGCCCGAAGCGGCCTTTATAAGGATTGAATAGATCTTATCTTATCTTGTCTTATATTAGAAGATATAACTCAAGTATATACTCGCAATATTATAAGATATATCTCACACGCTATTTTATGTATGTATACAGTCCGTCCATATTTTTTTTAAATTTTACGAGATGAAAGTAAAATTTCGACAGACTTGCAAAATTCGTTCAACATATTTTCCCGAATTTTCTCCTAACTTGTGGAAGAATATCTGAAATATTTATATTTCACTAGTAAATATATAAGTTATAAATATAAAATTAGCCACCAATAAAAATGTGTCATTTTTTTTATTTCACAAAATTATAATTATCAATGCTGCACAATTTTCAGTGGAAACATCTGCATGGTAATAAAGAATAAACAAAACCATGCAGAAATAGTTTGTCACGTACGAAAGTTTAGAAATTGGCAGAACTAAAATATTCCTAACAGCAGAGTAATGCTCACTTCTCAATTATTTGTGCAGATTACATAAATTTTCAATAACAATTTTGTTTACACATTTCAAAATTTACATAACTAATTCGATGTATTGTCCCTCCTCCAAATACGTGATCCTAGACATTCAACTCCAATCTAAATATTCCTTCGGATCAGTGTAAATAGCGTGCGACGTATCAAGCAAGGAGTCAGTTTCAAAAAGTTTTCACAGCTACAGTCAATGTAACAAGTATAGGCAACCCCCACGCAAGCTACTTAAAATTGCCTATAACTTTGGCATGCATTATCAAATTAGCATGAAACTTTGTACACATTTAGCAAATCCAATATAGTCATCAATTATAATCATGTTCCCGACTGAAATTAAATAACCATAACGTTATTATGATTTTGATATGAGCGCGTCTGGTTGGAACCTGCAAAAAGTATTGGCAACCTATGTCTTAATTATTTGTGCGAAATTTTTATAACGATAAACCTCTGCCTTTTGTCACAAGTTAATCAGATCACAAAATATAACGATATAATAATATAATATATCTGCTTCGTAAGTCCAGATTGGTATTGTCTAGAGCCAAAATAGCGACACCAAACGAGCTATTTTCGGAGGAGCGAGAAATAATCTTTCCTCCTTCTCAAACAAGCTTGGATATCGAAAACTCAGGCAGAAAACATGCTCCGCCATATTTACTATTCGAAACGTAGCCAAAGAACATGAAGTGACATTTTTAGTTACTGGTTTCCCATGATCCGGCAGAAAAAATCACCTAAGCCCAAAATCTACAGATTAATCAAGCATAAAATCACTCGAGAGCGGAAGATTTCAGCTCCCAAAACCATGTTGAATTTGAAAACCAACTGTGGGGTCATCATATCATTCTGTTTTTAATCGTAAGTAAATTCCTTAGAGGTGCGTGAGTTGTAAATTCACGTTAGTTAATTATGAGTGTGTGTATGTTGAAGTGTAGCGCAACTTGAAATACTATGCACCAAATTCTAGCATAAAGCTCTATGGTTGTGTAAATAATTCGTAGACAACTTCAATGGGTTAATTTTAAATTAATAGTAACTGGTTTATTTCTGGTTTACTTCATAAGCACATACAGACTTGCATGATACTATTTCTATTATTAATGGTTAATATGGGGTATTGTGATACAACTATTTCTTATGGGCAAACTGATACAATTCCTATGGGTAATTTGATACTAATAATTTTGCAATCTCAATTTCTCATTTGAGGCAATGTGAGACTTGCGATTCACTCTTGTGCAGAACAACCCTGTGTTACAAAATTATTAAATGGGCGTTACGCGGGCTCTGGTCCGTGGCTAGCTTTATACTGCAGAGCGGACGGAAAAGCACCCGTGTATGCTAACTAATACATTCCATTTTCCAACTAAAAATAAATCTATTTGCAAGTTATGCAAGTTATGTAAGTTACATAAATACCGTTGTTTGTTCAACATTGGAACAAATACATGCATACATAACTTACTACCATTTTACCTGTTTAGAAAACTGCAAAACTGGACAACTCAATCTACATAAGATGAGTTTGCAAGATGTGAAAGCGATGCAGCGTAACATACCTGCCATCACTTCCGCATATACATTGATTTACATGTTTCTACTGAAATACCTATGTAAATTGCGCTAAATCTGCATCTTAAATGCAGACTGACAAAACAATGCAATCTACACATTCCAACTCCAAATACATTCATATTCCTACATATTAGGAATCTGAACACATTCAATATGGTGATCAACCAAAAATCATGCGATGAGGTTTCAGGGTCCAGAAGCCCGACTGACGCGAGGGTCCCCAAAGCGAACCAACTCTATAAATTGGAATGGGCTAAATACAGCCCTAAATAGACTTCCAATGAATAGACAAGCGTCTGGTGGTTTGACATAGACAAATTTTACTTATTCGGAGCTAATTCAATGGTTCAAGTCTAGCGGATGCCGTAAAAGGCTCAGAAACACGAACATGTGCATACGACAGTTAAGCACATAGGAGGATCGTTTATGGTTTGGGCTTAAATGACCAGATCGTAGCGTAGTTACCTGGTCATTATCGATGAACTCATGACCACGTAGGTCTAAGTAATCATTCTAAAAGATAATTTGAAAACATTTGACAAAACCCAGAAATTGGAAGGAATTTCATGTTCCAAAAATGCAATGACCCCAAAACATGCATCCACATTAACGACGCACATATTTGGAGACCGAAAAAGTTAAGCTTCTTTTGTTGGCTGCACAGTCTTCCGATGTGAAACTGATCGTCCGGGTTAAGAAAATACTAGTGGAAAACCACTCGTCGGAAAACGAGCTTGCCAAAATTTCGAAACAAGAGTGAGCAGCCAGATCAAAAAGCGTCAGAAAGAAACTTCTGGAGCAGAGTGTGCAAAAAGGCGCCTTTTTGGGAAAAAATTCATGCCGTTTTGCCCGTTTCAATGCCGAATTGCCTTTTTGCCCGTTTGATGCCTTTTTGCCTTTTTCCTTATGTTTCTATTGGGTATCGCCCGAACCATTTTTCTTAGTGAGGCAAATACCTGACAACGAAAAAAATTTTCTAAGTATGCATTTACCCCACCCAAAAAAAGTGAAATAAATAGATTTCTCGGCCATTTCTCAACCGATTTTGATGAAATTTTGCACAGATCATTGTTAGGTAATTTAGAAAAGATGTGCTAGTCGACTTGGCGAATTTTTGATTTCTACCCAAGTTATGTGCCAAAATTTGCAAAAATTTTCCCCTGAAAACATATTTATTTTTATGATTCATAAGTGGTGTATCTCAGCATGCTCGCTTATTGAAAATATTTTAGTCAAAGTCATACCGGACATTTTAAGCGCAAAATGACCTAAATCGGTTGAGAAATAACGGCGTTATTCAAGTTTGAAAATCAAAAATTTAATAAAAATATTCAGGGTGCCGATAGTAACGGCGGTTGTGCAGTAAAAATAATGTCTTTGACAACCAATTACAAGTTTTAAATAAACAAGGCCCCAAAAAATGGGAAATCTTAGTGAGTCAGCGCAATCACAGTTAATAAATAAAATTAGATTGAATAACTTTTGCATCACCGCTCTCGGGATAATTTTTACCTGGTCCACTGTAAATTTAGTTTTGCATACGCATGAACTCTTGCATTCATTAAATTAATTGAGATTACAAGATGACGTTTTTACTATTGAACGAGAAGTTGGCTAAATTAATCGATATGAAATATAATTGTGAACTGCGAATTTTAAATTTTGAAAGAGTTGAAAATCTACAATTTCGATATATAAATTTGGATATCCCATTAATTCCTATTCTGATGAAATCTCCAGACCCTTTGAGGGGGGCTATTATTCTAAATGATTAATTAATTCTTCCAGGAAAAATGATACCGAGAGCGGTGATGAAAAAATTATTCAATCTAATTTTATTTATTAACTGTGATTGCGCTGACTCACTAAGATTTCCCATTTTTTGGGGCCTTGTTTATTTATACAACTATGGACAAGAAAGTGTGACAAAAGTGTAATTGGCTATAAATTTAGGTTTTTCTAAAACGTTACCAACTATACACTTCTACACAACTACTTAACAACATTATGCAGTCGTGATAATTAAGGGCATTTATAAATATTTATGCACCTCAAGATGTGCATAATTTTTTTAGTGGTGTCGACGGTCATCCAAATCGGATAGATAACCATAATTTATTATTCACGTGTCAACAAATCCTGTGAACTCTGAAACATTACAAGATTACAACTAGCAAATCATGGGATCGTATTATCACATTGCCCCAATTTTACCAAAAAGGCAAAACGGCATTTTGGGCAATCGGGCATGGTCAAAATTCACGTGCCTAATAGGCAAAAAGGCATTTTAGGCACGGCATGCCTTTTTGCCCTTGCACACTTTGTTCTGGAGTCAATTCCAAGGGGTGTTTCTGCTCCTATAGTATCGAGAGGAGTTACTATGTAATGCTAGAAGCGGTTTGTCGTATTAAAATTGGCGTTTCTTTGCGTTATGATTTTTAAAGTTCAAGGGTGCCAATACTTTTTGCGGGTAAATTTTGCAAATTTCTCAAAAAATTATTCAAAAACTGTGTTTATCTAATTTTATTGAATAAAACATTACTATAATCGGATACTACATTAGATTTGTCAAATGCGTACAAAGTTTCATGCTAATTTGATAATGCACTCCAAAGTTATAGTAAAATATATTTAGCTTACATATATGGGGGTTGCCTGTACTTGTTACATTGAGTGTATACCTTAAATAGGAAATTTATATTTGCAGAATTATTCTGGAATTTTCGACACCCAAACGATTGACACCATGAGCAAGTATGTTATCAATCTATCCACCTATTTGTTGGTGGTGACAGTGGCTTCCCAACTTTGCGAGGCTTACGTAAGTAACCAACAAAAAATGTCAAAAATTGTAAAAAAAATCTACATAATTTATTTATTAAATTTGCAGATATCTTGTGATTACTGTGACGGGAGCCCGGTGGACGTGGGGTGGACGGTCTCCAATGTGTGGCAGTTATCAAGGAAAAATGTCCCGGCATGCGAAACAGGCAGACAACCTCGTGGCGGCGGGGCGTTCGGGTTATGGGCAATTGTCACAATATACCTAGTGGAACCGCGATTGCTACTTTTTTTGGAGATGGGGCAACCTACAATTCTGGAAGTTACAAACACGCCTCCATCTTTATTGGATGCGAAGGGTCAGGATTTCGAGTGAATGACCAATGGGTGGAAAAGGGGAGGTGTACATCTCGCCCCCTGTACCCTTCAGGGTCGGGATCAAATGGGGCGTGGAATTTTTGGACGATTGAGTAAAGGGGGAATCCAGTTTTCTCGATATCTGGATGTATAAATTTGTTCTCCTGCAGGGTAAATTAATTTGTAAAAATAATTCCTGTTTTCCATGAAATTTGAATAAAATATGGACTGGGTTTGAAATATTTTCATTGAAAATGATCAAAATTTAATGGAGAATAATACAATGTTACTGTACATATTTCATACAAAATCGAATTTAGACGAAGTAGTTTCAGTTTGGTCTGATTTTAGTAAGTAGGCAAAAAGGCACACATTTTTACATGCCAAATGCAATTAGGCTGAAAAAAGCACTGCATGCCGATTTGCTCTGCGTACACTGATTCTGTTTGACACACCTTCGACTATGGTGTGAAGTGTAACCCTCCGATTTTGTTGAAATTTCGAAATTATGTTATCCACTTCAATACAACCTAGTAGTCAGCCCAAGCTTGAGCCTACGTAAAGAATTGTGAATAATTTTTGCTAATACTTATGTAGATAAGATGACTACACATATGTAAATAGAGAGAGGACGATCATAAGTGGCATAACAAAAATACCGGCGTCGTTTTTTTGACAGAAAGATTTGAAATAGGTGGATTTTTTAAAATGGGTTGAAACGATTATGAACGTCCCGCTTGTACAGATCATACGCTACCGATTATGTTACAGCGTCTTAGGTAGAAGAATCACATTGTGACAATGGGAAATATCACATGTTAGATAACAGCGAATAACGGCCGCGTTTTTACAAGTTGACATAATGTTAGGAACTATGAAAGTTGCTGAAATATGATTTTAGCGTATATAATAAATCACGTTTATATCGCGAAATATGTATCACACCCGTTACACATGGCAATAATGTGAAATACTTTATAAAACGAAATCCTCCAAATTTTCAGTGCTAATTAGTTTTCTATATTTTATTAAGTTATTCTAAATCCTCTACAAAGCTAGACAAGTTCTTAAATAATTAAAAAAAACTATGTTAAATTCAGATTAAATTGAAGTTCTTTCCGATATCCAGATTTGTGAGGATAAACAGTCACATACACCCAAATGTTTTCCAACCTTTTCACAAGCTTCACACTCTCGCCGTGCAGACATCCTCCACCACTAACTCGTCGACGAATCGTTTCACCACGAATACAAGATACATCTGAATTCCAAACGCAACAGCGTAAACTCCGAGGAGAATAAGGCCACCCCCAATTTCCCCAGAGATGGCCAGGCTTATAAAAAAGGCCGCCATCCCGACCGCGATGAGGAGAAGGGAGACGTAATTCCAGTACAACCAGGGCAGTATGAAACGGTGATTGCGCTAAAAAAATAAAAACAGAAATGTTCAAAATTGGTTGCGGATTTACAAAAACATGATGTAAAACCTGACTTACTTTGCGGCACCCGTGCACCAGAATGCACGCAAGCATGATGTATATTGCGGAAAATGATATATGGACGTAACCCAACGTGATGTAGCGACTGGCTGCAATTTAGGAAGGGACAAATAATTATGCCAAATATCTGTAATTATGCGGGTGGAATTATTCTGCGAACTTGCGTATATTACATATGTCATCATTTTAGTGAGTGGGTGGATTAGATTCTACTAACTTTCCAATGTTAAAATTCCCTACCGAAAAACAATTTTGATGACGTAATATATGGATGGCCTCACTCTAGCTGGTTTTGAGCAGTGTGTGCAAAAAGGCAGACTTTTTGTTATTTCTTCATGCCTTCCTGCCTTTTTAAATGCCCGTTTGCCTTTTCAAATTTTGGGTTTAAATGCATATTTGTAGATATGTATGAATGTATAAACACGCAATGAATAACTTTCACTTTAATTTTATCTAAGGGTTTGGGTGTCATCTCGCCCCAATTAAGAAAAGGGCAAAAGACCAAAAAGGCATCTGATTTTGTGGGCAAAAAGGCACTGCCTGTCTTTTTGCTCTGGACACACTGTTTTTGAGCTACCAAGAGGCGAAAATGCATAGTGTCAGAAAGTATTAATAAATATTGTTAAGAATGCATACGATTTTGTTGGAATGCGGGGTCCGTAATCTGATCGGGATGAATTACCATTAAGTTTACGGCCAACGAGTTGAAAATTATGAAAAGGATGCCTCCCACCTGGAAAGAATTATTATGTAATTAATTAGAAAGATGGTGGATAAAACTGGTAAGCTTCATATTTTGAAGATTCTCCCGCAAAGTAACAAATACATTATTTTACCAAAGTATTACATTGTAAATACATAAATTAACAAACCGTGAATGAATATTATGCGGCATTTATAATTCTACCCCCTCCCAAATGGGGCAACTTGACATGACTTTTGGTGAAAAGTTAAAATTTTACTTTCATACTGAGGTATCGTTCGTAATTAGCGAGGAATTATAAATGCGGATATTAGGGATTACGAGGATTTGGAATTGAGATTTTGATTCCTACTATCAAAACTGATAGAAAAAAATAATGCCTAAATTCTTAAATTCTGAGAATTTCAGAAGCAAAGTGTGGTACCTAATGGGAATTAATCTCACAAATTCTTCTTACTAAATCACATTTATCTTCGACATTTACAAATAAATTAATTGTTTTCGACTTCACGTTATGATACTTAATTTACACATTTAGTAACTCTTACAATGTTGAAAATTCCGATGGCCAGCGTTCCCTGTCCGACTGTATAGCATCCACAGCAACACGTATCCGTCGACATTTTGTCCTCCAATACACCAACAATTCCGTGTCAGAGATATCGTAGTATGAAATTAATGTCTATAAATATTGTGATTAGATTTGTATAAAGTTAAGAGGAAATATTTGCGTGTTTCGGATAGCTCGGTTTAACATAAACTGATCCAAAATTAGTAGCCACAAAGCCGTTTTGTTGTCTATAGTCTTCCAGTCAATGTGACAATCATTTCCATGCCGACGTGACTAAGACTTTTGACTGATTCTGTCAAACAATCATGTTACGAGATTCATACGTGCAGGATAACATGTCGTGACGAGTAGGTGCTACTATGTAGTTAACATCAGAATGATATAATTTTTATTGTTGAATAAAGGGATTTTTGTCCATTGTAATGTAAATATTCAAGTTTATGTATTTGTGATGAATGATACATACTATTTTTATCTCCTTCGTTATTCTGAGTAAAATCCTACCTGCATAAAACTTGGTGGCGATATGAGAATTTTTTTTTTCGCGAGACAAATTCAGCATATGTATGTAAATATTTACATATTTTGGTACACGAATGTTTTATGAATCTCGTCACACTTCAAAGAATTCAAGGCTTTTTACGCAAGCGAGAGCAGGGTATGCTACCCCGGATTTTTGGGGTATTGGACGGTTTTGGGGTAGCAAATTTGAGCAATTCCCAAGGATTGTCGGGGTTTTCAAAATTAGAAATGTTTGATAACATGACATTATTAACAATTAAAATAATTAATTATCTAACAAGTGTGCCACATATTTACTGCCATCGAAAATTTGGTCCAGAACATGGAAAAATTACTGCATAAATACATACATGGTGCTAAAAATGTTACTTATTAACAATAAAATACGTTATCGCGAACAAGCTCAGTATTTCATGCAAACTTTTTAAAATGCGAATAATAGTTATATGTAAATTGGATATGTAAGTTGTTCAAATACCAACATAAAGGAACTTGTATTTTATTTTTGATTTGCTGGGAATTCTATCAATTTAAATAGTTATTTTCTAAAAAAAACCAGCATACATACACTTCGCTTCTCTATTATTAGAATGTTGTAATGAACCTCTAAAGTATGTACTACAAATCCGAAAGTAAAGGGTGTAAGATATACGTGTGGAGTTAATTTTAAGCCATGATTACTTTTTATAGAAATATGAATTGCGAAAAATATGAATTATGAAAAAATAAAATTATATATAAATAAATAATTCTCATGATGACTAATCTGTTCTTTTATCCAACTTTATTTCATTGTAATTTTCCGGGATATACATACATATTTGTGTATGAATGTATGTAGAAATAAATGACAGCAATTCCATAAAAATTTATTTGAAAACAAAATTTAAATATGTATGGATATATCTAAAGAAATTGATACATATGTACAAAGTGAAACCTCTGGGAAGAACATTGTCTTAAATAATATTCTCACAGACTAGTGCGACTTGGCTCTCCGGCTCGTAGCTCATCCTCGAATGCTTTCACGACAAAGACACAATACGTCTCAATTCCTAATAATACCGAACACACGACGAGTATAAAAAGGACCAACTGTAGCTCCAACGCGATGGCGTAAATTGCGCAAATTAACACAATCCAGACAACGATTAGGACAAGGGAAACATAATTGCAGAACAGCCAGGGCAGAAGGTAGCGGTAATTGCGCTGTAAAAAATAATTTATTGTTATCTACCACACTTAAAAATAATCTAACCCTTCTGAAAAGTAAATGCACTCTGTATTCCATGTAAATTCAAGAAACTGAACAAAATTTAGAGCAGAGTTAATTTGATTAAAGAAATAAAGTTTGCGCTGGATTTGATGTAGTTTTCTTAATACTCATTCAAAAAAAATCATTCAAAAGTCACTCATCCAGATTTTTTACTGATGATTTTCGTTCACATTCATTCATTTTTTTAAACTGATTTCATTTAACTTAATCGGATTGCACTTCTTCGTTTGCCCAATGTAGGTTGAATTATGAAAAGAGGGAAAAATCAGTCATTTTCAATTAATTAATTAAATTCGTTTTAATTTTCTAGCATTTACCATGAAAATACCGGCCAAATGAGTGCATCTACTTTTCGAAAGGGTTCCAATATTTTTAAGGAATTACTTACCCGGGTGTATCCGTGCACTAGGAGAGATGCAAAAATGACTAGAACTGCGGACAAGAAGATGTGACCACTAGCGAGACAGATGTAACGAAGCCCTTTAACACATTGTAAAATTGATACAACATTAATCTTAATAATGCTAATAACTCATAATGGAGGCCTCCTAAATTTGGCCTAAACTAGCGTCAATCGATCACAAATTTAATTAGGGTGAAATTTGCAAATGAAACTATCTGCCAATGCGCAAGTTTAGAGGAGATATTTGCATAAAAAGAGTAGAAAACACACCCCCAAGGCTGCAATTTTTTCCAAATTTTCTGTGCATTTTTCCCGCTTTGGATGCAAATATCTCGGTCAAACCTGCGCATTGGCGGATAGTTCCATTTGCAAATTTCATACTAATTATATTTGTGATCGATTGACGCTATTTTCCTCCAAATCTGTGAGCATACGTTGGGAGACCTCCATTGTAAGACGAAATATAGTAAAATAATTTCTCGTTTAAGAAATTAACATAAAAAATAACCAAAGCATAAAAAATTGAAAATTAGCGACAAGAACTGTGTATGTACTATTTTCTTGGAAGGCAGGGTCCTCAATTTGATCCGGATACGTGACCATGTAGCTGAGCAGGATTGAGTGATAAATTATGAACAGAACAGGGCCCGGGCTGGGTATATATGCGCCCTAGGCAAAATTTTTCTTGCGCCCCTAACTTTCCCACATTAGAAAAATCCTGTTAAACATCTGCTATTATATGCAACACATTTCTGTAGCACTTTACATATGTATAGTCCAAAAATTAATACGCTCAATAATTATTTTATTGTTGAGAAAACCTATGTATATTCGTACTGAAAGTGCTAATTAGCACTTTCACTTTCACCGCGAGATTTATCATTAATGATAAATCTCGCGGAAGCATAACTTTCTATGTAAATGGTGCAACATGTGAAAGAACCAAGAGATGAAACAAAGCATCACCAGAATTTCACTCACAATGCGATGGTTTGAAGTGTAACACTCGCTCCGATTTTGTGAAAATTTTATGATTCTACAGTTCAATGAAATAAAACCAACTAACGTGACTAATGTAACTAGCCAGCAGAGACTGGTCAATCCCGGATTAAGGATTAGGGATTCAGATTAGGACTGGGGATTAATTAATCCTCAATCTCAATCTCTAATCCCAAGTTCTAGAATTTTAATCCTTAATCACTAATCCCAAATCCCCCTATGTCAACTTTAATCCTAAAGTGGGATTAGAATGGGATTAAAATGGGATTAAATTTGCAATGACTGAAAAATCGAAAAGCCAAACTTCTCTTAACATCGCTCCCTTTTCGATTGATTGCATTTCGTTCATTTTTATCACATACATGAATTACGCGTCAATCATGTATTCAAAATACTACAAATCATTTTCCAAAACTACTCGTAACGTTTCATTGGGCTTTTAAAGAATTTAGGTAATAAACTCAACAAAATAATCCTCACATGAAAGACCACATTTGAGAAAATTAATTTAATATTTGATACCTGTACTTTCGAAGAAAGAGATTCATTTTCATATCATGCTTAAACACAAAAGCCTTGTACAGAAAACCCGAGCTTTCTGGCAAAACCGACGTCTGGAGCTTTCTCTGAGACTTTAATGTGTTTTTGCAATATTTTTTTAGGGAGTCATCAAACTTTTTGAAAATATAATATGCATGATATTGGAAATGTGAATCCAAGTTCTTATACGAAGTTCTCAAAAAACGCTCGAAAAGGGTTGCACTATGGGCCAGGTTTTACAAATTGTGGCCAAAAATATACATAGCCCGCACTTCACGTCATAAAAATAATTCCTTCCGTACAAATATAAAGTAAAGTATAGGCTATCTGACTCAATGCTTAGTGGCAACCTGGCACACCCCCAGGGGGTGTGGCAATTGACAATTTTTTTAGTCTAAGTAAACCCAGGCATGCGACATGTCATTCTTCTTGTCTACATAAGGCGATTAGGATGCAAAACACGAAATTCAAAAACCACACCCCCCAGGGGGTGTGGCCATCAACATTTGTTTTAGTCGAAGTTAACCCAGGCATGCGACATGTCATTCTTCTTGACCAAAATTTTCAACTTCCTTCAGTGTTTCAGCTAAGGAGTATGTCAGGGAAAGGTGCCATAACGTTTCACATGGATGTCAGCGAATTTACTAAAAAAAATTGCGAACGAAGTTCAGGTGTCAAATATGTAAATAGCATGGCAGTATATAATTACATATAATTACATACAATTACATAGGAAGGAAATGGTGAAAAATGAGACAGTTGATGGGCACTGCATAAGCTAAGAATTATACCTCAAATTACATTTGAAATTTTAATTGCCACATGAATACGGAAATTTTGAAGCATAATAAATTTAGAAATTCAATAAAATGAGCAGGGTTTCGTTTTTCCCGTCAAAAACGATTTTTTACCACGGCAGGTGGGAAAAAGTGGTAAAAACCGTGAAAAACGGTTTTTACCGTCCAAAGTGGGAAATATGGCTGTCCATGTATTTAGTTATGGAAAGCTAACTTCCTTAATAATCAATATTTCCGGAATTGGACTTCATATTCGTGATCTCCACGAATTTCTGAGAATTTTTAATGTAATACGAGCAATTTTGATCCGTTATAATTATTTTTCCAGTTTTCCCATATGAATGCAATATGCACATGTTAATTTTAGAGATTGTTCGAATTGGACCGTATTACCAACTAATTTTCTCAGAATTTGATGGATAATACGAATATAAAGTCAAATTTTGAAAATCTTAAGTTTAAAAGAAGTTGTTTCGGATTGCCCCAAAACCAGAGTTTTTCCCATTTCTTCCATTTTTCCCGTTTCCCACCCATTTTGGGTGGGTGGTAAAAATGCCTTTTTCCCACTTTTTCCCGCTGCCCTGGTCAATTTGGTTTTTACCAATCGAATCCCTGAAAATGAGGGGCTGACTCGTACAAAGGAAATTGTGTTTGCAAGCCTTTCACTTCTTGTAACCTGATGACTGAATTTTCTGTTTGAGACGAGCTGCATTTTCAGCTTTTGTTGTCCGAACCAAATTCTATGCACTATCTGGCTTTTGTAGGTAAGGCTTCTACGGGAGTGTCTAATACGCCAAGGGTCTTAATAAGCTAAGCCCATCATCTAACTTCAATTCCTGAGGCCTGTAAAATTTGTGACATTTGAATTATCAAGTCCATTCAACTGGGCAAATTAAGCTTATCAGAATTTGTAATAATGATTATAATTGGAAAATTAGGCAGTACTTATCAATGCGGTTACCAATTTTAGTAAAATAATCTTACGGACAAGCAAATTACCGTAAAACCTCTATTTATAGCCCTCTTCTAATTATAGCCGGTCTCCAAATATAGCCGGGTCTAGACACCAAGATTTCAAAATTTTAGCCGGGTCTCTAATTATAGCCGGGTCCCCAATTATGGCCGGGTCTCTAATTATGACCTGTCTTGTCCGCTGTGTCTTTCTTCATAGTCCATTAAAGAAAAATGTTGCACATTATGCCAATCAACGAATAAGTTGAACTACTAATTTTTTCCTATTAATTTCAGGTTAATAATGGATATAATCATGACAGACAATTTAAAGAACCTGCTAAACTTCGTTTCAAGATGTAGATTAAAAGTGAATGGGTTACTTGCGGCTTATCTTGCTAAATTAGAAAACTCAAATTGAGTCAACATGAATTATATTTGATTTTGTAACATCTAAAATTTTTGGAGCAACAAAATTTAGCCGGGTCTCTAATTATAGCCGGTCTCTAATTACATATAGCCGGTCTCTAATTTTAGCCGGGTCCGTGACCCTCAGTTCTGGATTTTAGCCCCGGCTATAAATAGAGGTTTTACGGTACGTTGATCCAAATAGTCAGAGTGAGTTAATTAATTTCGTAGGCGTGTTTTCAAAATTCTGGTATGATGATTTTTCGGTCGAACGTATGTTTCCATTAACTTCTTCATTTTGAATTAGACCCACCAGAATGTAATATTTAAATATGTCGTTTATTCCGTCTGGTGGGCCACGCCTACTAAGGGTGTGGTGTTTAAATCCTAAGTACTAAATCGAGATCCCCTCCTCGAGAAGAGGAAAATTACATCGCATCACATAGTCAGGTAGAAGTCGAAAAGTCGCAGGCGACCACCCCCACTTGGAAGTGTGGCCCCTAAATTTGAAGTTTTCAATGGTGATCCCCTCGTCGTGCTGAGAAAAATGATATATCACATGACCTGATTTCGTTAAAAGCGAAAAGTCGCTGATGGCCACGCCCACTGGGGGTGTGGTCTATCAATTTTAATTATTCAGTCCACATCCCCCGGTCGAGCTGAGAAAAATGATATGTCACAACCCATGTTTTGTAAAGATCAGAAAAGGCGCCGAGGGCAACACCCACTGGGGGTGGGGCATGCGACCACTTCAATATTGCTCAGGGTACTTTTTCGTCATGTTAATTTTGTAATAATTTTTTGTTAATTTTAGTCGACCAGTTAATATATTAAAATATGCTAATATATAGTAAATATATCTTTGGTAACCGGCTAACTCCAAAATTTTTAAACGCTTCCGAATATTGAGAAAACAAGATTTAGTTATGTCAAAAATGGGAATTGTAACAATTGCACTAACAATAAATTGAGTCTCTAATGTTTCGAAGACTAAAATAAATGTTCGTATATATGTATGTATGTAAACCTTTGGATGCTTCGCGGCGCCCTCAGATTTTGGCGTTCTGTATTCTGGATGCCCTTCGCAATTGCGGGGCCTGTTTATAAACTCATGTTTTCGCATTTTGAACTCATGCTAAGGTTCGAAAAGTTCAGGTTCATGAGAACTCGAGGTTTTGCCCGGAACGCAATTTAAAATTCTCGCCTCACGATCATATTTAATCAACGGCGCCTCACGCTAATATTATATCAGCGGCGCCTCAGCTCCTTGGGCAACTGTGAGGCCGCCTAACCCTCCTCACGAGCACAGTAACGATTAGTTGATTTACTGTATGTGTGCTCCGAATTTCATTTGGGATAAGATATGCAATTCTGCGAACTTTTAAAACTTCTTTTGCAGTTTTTTAAATTTGGACGGGTTTAATTAACATTGAATCATTTGTTTCTGAATACAAGAATCGTTTGTGCGAAATTTGTATAAACAATTACTTTTGGGCGCCTCGCGGCGCCCTCAGACTTGGCGTTCTGAGAAATTGTCCTCTACCAAATTTCGGGGCCTGCCAGTAGAAGACAATATTTGTTTCTCGAAAACTATGTGAGACAAGAAAATAAAGCTTAATGGTTTATCAAATAGTCCGGAGACCGTTTCACAAAATTTTTTCCACTCGGCATTGTATGTTTACGAATATAAGACAATCATTTATCAATTTTCGCAAATGTCCTTTTTATCTAGTGTACAGCGGGGCGCCTCATGGCGCCCCTACAATTTGGCGCCCTAGGCAGGTGCCTAGGCTGCCTGGCCCTTAAACGGGCCCTGGAACAGAATACCGACTACCTGTAATTCGGAGTAGAAATACATATGGTAACAAATTTGTCACCAGATTTCCTTTCGGGTATTCATTGCAATTGGTACAACTTCGGGATAAATATCGCGAACTAAATTGGCTCAGGAAAAACATTTGCGAACTCCGTTTTTTTCTATGTTTACGTCTAACTGTGTGAACTCGTAGTGAATACTCGACTCTGCAAATATCCAGTTTTTTTTACTTCAACTTTGAAAAATGTACCCTGTCGGGAGAGTGTTAACAAATTAAAAATTTACGAATAACAACTATTTGGTATGTAAATAGTTGCGTAATTTTTAAATGGTTGGCATAAATACATACAACTCTGCAATACGTGACGACAAATTTTAAATATTATTATTAACATTTAATGGCTTACAATGTTGAAAATTCCAATGGCAAGTGTTCCCTGACCGACAGAGCAGCATGCACAGCAACACATTGCGGGGGTCATTTTGACAAAAAAATTAAAATCTCGAAAAGTTACTGTGGTTTACCCAAATCAGTTATATTACAGTATGTAAGAAAGCTATTTGTACATGTGTAAGGTATCGATAAAAAAGTCGTAAGATAAACAAAGTACTCTCCATTCGCACACCGAAGAACTTTTACAGAAACTGAGATTTCTGAGAAACTACGGTACTTTCAGTCTCAAGCTACCCCGTGAGCATAATTTGAGAGAATTTGAGACTGTCACTGCCGTAGTTTCTCAGAAGTCTCAATTTTTGTAAAAATTTTACTGTGTGCGAATGGAAAGTATGTATCGTACTGTGGGATCGAGTTAAGCTCAACTAATAAAAATTGCATCTCTGTTAAAGCTTTTTGTTGCCCATTTTACAATCATGGTGATTGTCACACAAATACACGGAGACAGTCGATATGTAAAGTTTGTACTGCATACGTGCAGTAACACATGTGCTGCAAAGTGTATAAGCAGCATTCGGAAATAGTTTTTGCTATATTTACGTGTACATTATTTGCATATGAAGACATTGTTATTTTTTGCATGCATGCATACATACGTCAATAGAAATGTTTGTACATCTCACACTAGTCACGTTTAGAGAGGGTAATTTTGTTTAGAAGTAGTAAATATGTACCACAGTTGTATCACCAGAAGGTATCTAATCTGTGCTGGATTTCGCTATGTGGTGTCCTCATTCAGGCAGACCAACAAGGTTTATAATTTTCAAGTAAATTGTAACATGTGTGGTCGAAACATAAATATGTTTTGCCTTAAAAACCCATTAATTAGGTTGGTTAAATTGCATTGCGGAATGGAATTATGAGAATGTACGAGAGGAACAAATATTGATCTTGCAGTGTTATGTGCGTAACCTATGTAATTGTTTTTTTAAATATTTCCTACCCGGTATTTTAGTAATATGGTATTCATTAGATGTATAGATATGCAAGAGTGTTAAAGGGAAATGCTAGTTTGAGCGGAGCAATTAATTTTGAATGAGCTCAAGCACATGATAACGTTCGGATGGAGGTAGAAATGATTGGATTGTGACTTAGCTTTACCATTTACAAGTTAATTTCCTGCATCTGCAACAGTTGACTGAAGTTCTTTTACGTCGCATTTTATGGTTTCAATCAAGGGCAATGCGACAATGCTGCATCTCTGGGCGATGTCAGCAGAATTAAGTTTAACTTGATTGTTCAGCGATATAAACTAGCAGGATGTTTTTTTTCACTTTTGTAATTTTCAAATTTTACAGCATGGATTAAGTTTTCAAAATCAATAACACTGGCTTATCAAAACGCTCTATTCTTTAGAACGATTTCAAAAAATAGAAAACGTGTATGTTCAGAATGATGTACACACACATGAATTCTCAAATAAAATGAAAGTTTGCTTATTTACTCTTGCGATTTTTAAATTCAAAAACTGACCAAAAATGAATCCAGTGGCAATTGGTAATAGCTTTTTTCAAGTATATTAAATTACAGCAGAAAGGCCGCAATTCTAGGATGGAGCTCGGTGCTAAGTTGTTAGTTTAGGACTGTCAAATCACAATTATGCACCTTTTTATGAAAAACGAGCTGAATTAAAAAAATATCAATTTATTCTTTTCCCTAACCAAATATTGGAATTTTACATATTTATATGTAGTTATTCATTAAATTGTTTGGTTGTATTTATGTACATATACATACGTACTATGTTTTGTACGGATTATGTAAATCCTAAGAGCGAATCAATATAATTTTAAGTTTAAACATGAAGCTGAAAATGACTAAATGAGAAATTAAAAGAACCCTTATAATTATCAGACAACTACAAGAATTCCTGTGACAGAAGAAATTCTGTCGGCTCTGGTGGTTTTTACCGTACTGGTAGTAATGTGCTCCTGCAAAGCATTGAACTAGGGGTCGGCGATTTCCCTGAGGTCAAGGAGGGCAGTGCTAAAGATCTCCGAGCGGTGGGGTTTGACCACCATTCGGTAGTGGAGACAATGTGGTGTTCAAATTTCTTAAAATATGTGCACTATGTAGAAGTGTTTGAAATTCAATTCAAAGTTTGTAATACAAGCAGCGTACAATATAAATAAAACCCTCGTTTTACATGTAATTTGTTAAATATTTGTTACATAAATGCATAACTGTAGCATAACTACTTATTCTTATCAGTTAATATTATTTCGTCAAATTCGATCACTTGTCACGACGATTGGTTTGATCGACAAGTGGGTCTCGACCACTTTTGCGCTCGATGGAGGCACCATCAATGGTTTGATGTCGACGACTTGTCCGTTCGGCGAAAGCGTCTTGGCCGGGTTGACCTCGATGACTTTTCCGATCGGCGGAAGTATCTTCGTCGGGTTGATTTTGACGAGTGGTCCGTTGGATGGAAGGGTCTTCGACGATTTGACTTCGATAACTTTCCCGTTCGACGGAAGCTTCTTCGACGAATTGTCCTCTTCCCTTTCGTATTTCCGATGGCACATATTTTCGTTCAAAACTAGTTTTGCAAATAGTTCGTTGTCATATGCCAAATCCATACTGGCAGATAAAATGCCTCCGGCAGGAAAGCTGTCCAAACCCGTCGCCTAGAGTAAAAAATATTTTTTAGGTCATCATTGAATCACACTTAAAAAATTTTGACCCCTTTGAAAAGTAAATGCACCCTGACTTCTAAATCACGATCACCACGAATCAGAGGTCGACGCCGACAAATTTTCGGCGGTGGCGGCGCCAGTTTTTGGTAATTTTTCGGCGGCGTCGGCGGCGCGGCGTCGCAACGTTAAAGGAATAGGAAATCGAATTTTTCGGCGGCGGCGGCGCGGAAAAATCATCGGCGTATGGCGGCGCGAGATCGGCGGCGTCGACCTCTGCCACGAATCGTCTAATTTATCACCGGAATTCTTAAAGTGCGTAATTTACTTACAACGATGAAAGCTTTTACGTTTCTTAAGGGTCACAATATTTTTAAGAGTGCATAAAAAGAAAGAAAGAGGAAATTCCTACCTGTAAACTGAATCCTTCCCCGTACCTCCACTTTGTCGAGTAATGCTCACAATTCTCCTTTTTCCAATTAAATTTGACAAAACCTTGGATAATTTCCTCCGTGATCTTGTCACAATCTTCGAAGTCTTGCTGAATTAGGGCCCAAATCTTATCCTCGGAGAGAACCGTGTAACCTTTTTCCTTCGCGGTTTCAGTGAGGTTGTTGACCCTGAGTTTCTTTGCGTGTCTCGCTGCTTTCTCGACACTTTCGATCCGAATAATCCCGCGCATTTTCTCCGTGCTGAAGATTACGTGGATGACTAATCCTTCACCGAGCGACATGAGCCAGTGGTTTCCACGACCGCATCCGGTATCGGTTTCGAGGAGGTCGAATTTTTCGAATTTTTTGAGGTCGTGTTGATCTAAAGTGCCCCAATCGGTGGGTGGAATCTTGGGGGTACTTTTGTTAGCTGGATGAACGCGATCTTTTGAGTTATGGCAGCCCATTTTGGAAAAATCAAGGAGGAATTTACAAGGGTCAGATTTTTTCTGAAGATTTTTATTTTTAACGATGAATTTATTGAGCTTTTTTTGTTGACTTTTTTATTTCATATTTTTTAAGACAAATTTATTCATCTTTTTTGTTGTCAGTTTTATTTTTATTTTTTATTTTCCCTTATTTTTATTCCTTAACTTTTTTTTATTTCTTACAAGTTTTATCGATTATGATTGGTAATCAGATGGAATCAGTTGACTCCTATCACTATCATCTCAACCACATTTCAAGCATTCACAAAATAACAATAAATTAAAGGTAATCAAATCTTTTATCGTGAACTTGCAGCATATCAAAAATCTGGATACAGCACGTGACCACGGTACCCATGACAACAGCACACTAAAAGTGTTGTTATTTTTAAGTAAAACTTAAAGTTAGAGGTACAAGTTTTTATGATATTTTTGTTTTTCTTCTTGGATGACGATACGAATTTATAACTTTCCGAAATTCTTAAAGTCAACAACTTTCTCCTCAAATTTAGTGATTTTACTTTCTCTCAACATTTTTCCCGACTAGACAATAAAATTTGAAGGTTTTGCTATATATACCGCACTTTAGGAGACTAATTTCCCCTAAACTTTTCACTATGTGGTTTCGCAACGTGGATATATGAACGGAAGGAAGTTTAATCTGTATGATTATTGCTTCTTTTTTAATTGTATGGGAAGCAAATCAAGTAATTTTGTTAGGTGTCACGACCTTCGTTTTCTTTCAAGATGCGTAAATATTTTCGTATTTGTCGGGCCAAATTACTTTTTCCAGACGTGGCGTATCAAGGTCTTTTTTGTACTGAAGTTGGAAAAAAACCAACCAAGTAAAATATGTAAATCAGGTAATGGAACGATCCATTTGCTTATTTAGGCTCTACTTGATCCATGGTCACCTTGATTGGGGTAATTATCTGGTGAATAAATTGTTTCGGGAGGTCAATTATTGATGTTTTTATTATTAACTTGATTGGTTTGCTGGGATGACGTCTATTTCATTTATTGAGCAGACATTGGCGCGAACAAGTAATTAGGTATGATCAAAGGTATAAGAAATGCAGGTGCAGGTGACCCGGGTATCGTAATTAGATTGCAAATTATAGGTACTTATACCTCGCTTATGAAAGGAAAGGGCTAAATTAATGATTGTATTAGCCAATCGCGTGGAATAAGATGGAAGGAAATATGTATGGAGAAAATGTGTGATATTCGATAAGTCGTTCAGCACTTGCAAAAAAATTATGCCTCGTTTGATGTAAATTTTAATGAAGAAAATTGCATATCAGGTATGGAAACCTAGACAAGGTCAGCCTACATGGGAAATTTATAATGCTAAAAAAATTGGTTTGTGGTAAGGTCAATGGCAGCGGAAGTTGGGGGGACATTTGGGGACATTAGAATTGTAGGGATGGAGGAGAATTATACTCTAAGAAACCCGGTAACGAAGTTATTACCAGGCGGAGCATCTATGCGAGTCTACTGGATGGTAATTTATTTATTATTGAGTGGTAGGTATTTTGTTACCAAACCGATAATAACCCCGGTCGCGAAATTAGAAAATGTTACGAGTTGGTAACTAATTTTCTACCACTCAAGTACGAGTCATACAGACACTCCGCCTGGTAATAACTTAGTGACCGGGTTTCGTAGAGTGTAGGATTTATTAAGGTTGACAACATATATATGATTTTTCTGAATTTCTGACAGGAAATTATAGACACTTCTCCTTCCGAGTGTACCTAGGAAAGGGTTAAATTAATTATCAGATTTACCAATCGCGTGTGTGTAGCAAATAAGATTATGTGTATATGCATAAGCATATGTATTGGCGACAATGTGGGATATCATGCAAAATAATGGATTCAAATCATTCACCAAGGGCAGCAACTTGCAAGTTATAAATTAAAATTATGCAAATTTAATTCAGGAAATTTAATTCTGTTTTTGATTATAAGATTATGAGTTTGCATAGACATTGGAATAAATATGCACTTAACCACTTCGCCCCTATAACGACTATGTGGCGTATTTGACCTTTACACCGAATACGACCATGTGGCGTAAGTTCCCTTGGCACCGGAATACGACGATGTGTCGTATTGACCCTTGACAACGGATACGACTATGTAGCGTATTTTCCGTTCACACCGGCCTACGACTATGTGTCGTATCCGGAAAAAAATTAGGTCATTGCCTCTCCAAGCAAAGCAAAGCAAGAGTTATGAGTCAACAACCCGCCCTTTAGACGGGAAGATAAATTGTCTCTTAGGAAATAATATTAGAAATGGATGCAAAATAAATTAATAGCCTAGTGGCTATATCTAGCCAAGACGCCGAGTTGTGAAAACTGTTTTTTGCAAGGAAATTTCGACACCGATTTATTTCAACAACGCTTTACGATAAGATTAGAGAAATTGTTTTGCTCGCATGTAGCACAAATGGGCGTTTTGGGCGAGAAAACTAAAAGTTTGATGAATTGCATCATTGCATGGATTTAATTATATACCACAAATAATCTTGCCGGTAGGGTAAACTACGTCAAAATTAATGATTACGTACCGGGTGCCGCTGAAATATCTTTTGGGCGGGAAAATTAAAAATTGAGAGATTGCCAGGAATTAGTAGAATTTAATTTTTCCGCTTAAAATTGATTTCTATTCACCAGATGCGCCATAGTCTATGTTCGAGCAATTTCCTCTCACGGGATAATTATTCATTGTCATTGCTGTCTATTTAAAGTCATTGTAAGGATTTTTGGTTTTCCCGCCCAAAATCGGCTCCTAAGGCGCTTTATGCGCTATAATCAATATTTGCGAGTTTACGTACTATTATGCAAGTATTACTCCATGGTTGTTTAACTTTTCATGCAATTACAATCATTTTTAAAATTCGGCGTGTTGGCTATTTTCGGCTATAAACATTGGTGGTTCGCCACAACTCAAAAATGCAAACTACAACTCAAAATACCTTCTTGAAAGGTTATTCATACCAATTTTCACAAAAAAGTGTCCAGAATAATTCCGGTGGGGACACCATTTTTTAATTCATGGCCCAGGAATTAACGTCATGCAGTAGATAAAAATTTCGGGGTCAAGGGAGGTAAAAATTCGCGGTTACTAGGGGTGAAAGGTATGAAAAAACTCGTCTCCTAGGGTTGAAGTGGTTAATTAAATATTAATCTCATATTTACACACATTTCAGATAGGTCACTTTTCGCGAAAATAGTAAAAGGCAACAAAGGCTTATTTTTCAATATTCTTTAAGAGAAAAATCACGAGAATGCCCGTTTCAGATATGGTGTTATCACACATTGTGAAGCGTATGCGCTCCAGAGACGCGAAGAAACCGTGCTGTGCATGTACCCATTTTATGTAGGTATTATTTCGCAATTTGCGAAACAAAGATATAAAAAATTTCTAACTATTCTTATTTATGTGTGTATTGCGTACGTAGATTAATCCGTATGTATTTATCACAATTGACGGTTAATATTTATTTTCAGTTTATGTACTAATGAGGTTAAATACTTGTGGAACAAATTACGAATTTTTGTTTTCAGATTAAATTTTAATTTAAATCAATTTTATTTTATGAATGATTTATGTATGTACATCAACTTAATACAGAATAGTCTAAATAAATTCGAGTACAAGGTTTCTCATCACTCCAAAAATATTTAACACCTTTTCCATAATACACAAGGCGCAATAATTCATCCCAATTTCTATAATCCCCACTACCCCACAAATTCCACAACATATCACCCAAATCCGCAAAATTGTAGTAAACTTGGAAACAAAATCCAGTCTCTCTAACGCTCCTAATTTCGGTTTCGTCCAATTTGCATAATAAGGAAATAACTTTTTCGGCCTAGTCTTAGCAAACCAGGCCTCCCACCAATGATAAATTCCCGACGTTAGCAGAAATTTGACCCTTTTTAAGACAAAATTCCCTCTAGGAGTAGGATCAATTTCGATTGTATTCCACTCCAGTAGAAAATCCTTATCCGCCCCTGACATAAATACGGTTCCGTCTTTGTTATCATTTAAGAATGGGATTATATCTCTAATATTTTCACGTTCATCCAAATACACAGATCTTCCACAATTAGATAAATTCGAGTATATATCGAACGGCCATTTATAATGCAAACCCTTCCAGATCCTTTTCATTCCAAGGTCCCCCTCGCTGGCGAGGAGTGCTTCGGCTAATCGTTTATATCCCAACAACCGAGGAAGGTTACCACCATAAGAAGCCGCAAGTTTGATATCAATATACGATTCTAAATCATAAATAGATCTGAATGGTGTCCCGTTAGAATACGATTCAAAATAAGTTTCCACGTGGGCTGGTACCGGAAAGTAAAACTGAAATCCTTTTTGGTCAAAAAGGTCGTAAATGTGGTCCCAAGTCAGACTTGGCTTGAACGGGAGGATAACTTCCGTGGTGAAGATGTCTTTATAGTACGACGTTAACACAATACTGGAGAAGATCCATACCCAAAAAAGGTGTCGGATAATTTTAGATGGAAAACCTTTCTTGATACGTTCTGTCAAAGAAATTTCCAGAAGGACGGAAAAAGTAAGGATGACTATGTCCATATCTACCGAACGATGCTTCGGCACAGTAGTAATCAACGTAAATACAAGTACAATTGTAATAATAGAGAGCCAAACGTATGTATGAAACGGATCGGTAAAAACTTGGTAAGAATTCTCTTTCTTAATCCCATAACAAGATAAGAAAGAGTACGACTTACTGCCGACCAGGATAATTTGGTGACTAGTGATGTAATATTGTTTTCGATCCAGGCCAAAATATTGGTAGACATCTTTGTTATACACTTTTAACGGGGGTGTTACATTGAACAGGGTTTCAGAGAGGATTGTATACGCGATAAAGTCTTGAAATGATTCAGATTTATTTGAAATCTTAATCCAATCAGGGGGTTTTAAGAAATACGTGTTTTGCATATCGATGAATGCCTTTGTATACGTGTAGTTCCCCAAATAGTCGAGATGCAACCATTTGCTATAAGTCCAATAAAACTTGTTAAACAGAGAGGCAACAGTGTCTGGAAAATCTGGGACGACATTGAACCTTCGTTTGTTGGTCGGTAATATTGATTTAAATGGTAAAATTGTAAAACTTCAGTGACCAGATAAAAATCATAACTTCCCAGGAGATTAATCGGCCATGAAAACAAATACCTGTGGATTACTTCTATATCATGACGCACCTTGATGGAAGAGGTTATCCAAATTATTTGTATATCGTAAGAAGATTTTATTCGAGAAAATAGTGGAATCTCAAATAAATCTTGAAATAAGGGAGGAATTTTAAAACCACGATTAGCTTTGACATCGTTGAAAACATACGTCCAACAAAACTTGTGGGGCTGCATTCGCCGCGTGCATGCCGTAGCTTTACGTCTCCTGGGTATTCTAAGGAGTCAAAATTTGACTTATATATCAGCAAAGGGTGTAAGGTAATGATTTTGACGGGTGAAGTTGTGGTGAATATTAAGGTCAAGGTACAATGGGAAAACATATCGTGAACTGAGTTAAAAATGTGCGACTTTATATTGCTAAATTCCATAGAACTTGATAAATGCAGAGATATGAGGAAATACTTGTAGGTTGACATGTCGAAATTAAGAGGAAACTAGAAAATTTACTTAGCAAACCAGAGATTCAAAAATATTTCAATATAATGGACATTTTAAATTCCTTTATTTCTACCCGATGTAAAAGTCTTGATGACAGGATTGCTTATCTATGTATCTACATAAGTTTTAAAACATTCTGGATTAACATTATTCAATTTGTTAGATACAACAGGAAAATAAGTGACATTTGAGAATAGAATACAATACTTGAGTGTGATCGAGTGACACCGTTAAATTGTTTGAGAGGGAAGTTATAGACAAACGGTGGTCACGTACGCAAAACTTCCAAGTCGGCATATGTAATGATTGACAATAATGTTACGCAATAAATATCATTATAGCTGTAAATATTACTTGACCCACGACGCGTCGGTGGTCAAATTTTCAATAATACATACTTCCACATATGTGTGTTCAATCATAGTTATGATTGAAAATTTGTAACATCCAGGGAAAAAATGAAGAGTAAATAAATACACCCATGGTTTTTTACCCGTTTTATTTTCTTGTGACAGGAGAATTTATTTGTTAACATATTTTCATTAGTTTTACTAGTCTTACTTAAATTTTAATTTACATACATAAACCTTAATTTAAGAAACGAAATATATTTTCACCTTCCCATCACCTCTCGATTTTTTTAGAAGCCCGAAAATTATCAAAGTCGTAAATCCTGTTATTTTATTTATATTAAATAAATATAATTTCTAGCAATACATTCTCATAATTATTTCTACGTACGTATGGCAATACGATCGTAAAACTAAGGATGGAGGCTTCCCAATGCGTGCTCTCAAATTTCAACGAAAAAAGCATCAATCTCTCCCAAATTGGATTACTGTTTATCGATTATTATTAAAAATTCTGAGAGGTTACCTGACAGGTAAAATAAATTTTCGTGAACACAAATTTTTATATCATCCTGGTCTTTTTATTTTGTAACGGTTTCGCTATTGTTGGCAATGATGAAATTATTTAAGTAATATATGGCCAAATAAAAATTATCCTGCTTTTGCGACTAATAATAATGGACAAACAATAGGATGAAATTTAAAAATCTCACGATCCCCCATTGCTTACGTTCATCGAAGATATTTGTATCCGTGGAGGAGAAAACGTGGATGGACAAATTCATCAGTATAGAAAAAATTGCTGTGAATTTTCTCCTCTTCGGATGCAAATATCTTCCCATTTGGAGATCACGTGATGTAATTTAACTTAATTTGCAGTAGATTCGTGCTAGTTTTTGTCAAAATCGGAAAACGTACGCTGGCAGATTTCCCTTTTTAGGGGATAAATTTGTCATCCAATTGGTCACCAGATCACCACAAGCTTCTCGTCAAATTTTGCATTAGGCTGGTCGCGTTGGCAGCAGAGTCTCCCTCGACCGGGGCGACAGCGGCGAGTTGAGACTTCATCATGGCGTACGACACGATTATGCTGAGGATCTAAGGTAATGAGTGACGAAATATTTAGTATGGCCATTAATAAAATAAGTAAACGGTACATAAAGAAGTAGCTTTGGTCTCGCTTCACCCCGTGTCTATTTCGGACTCCGAAATAGGTTAACAATATCTATCGTAAAAAATGTTTAGAACCCACCGATCCAACGGTTGACCAGGTCACGGTGATTATTCCGAACGAACCAATTCCCACGGTTTGATAGTTGACCTCGTGCAGAAAGACGCGAAGTTTCTTGTCAGGAATGCGAGAATAGTTTTCCTCCTTACAAATCCACGATCGAACGAATCGAAACTGCGGGCAGAGAACACGTGGAAAGTTAGAAAAGTGATCATACATACGTATAACCCCAATAACACATATAATAGCAATAACACGAGTAAATAAACCGTTACAACGAATGTAACCAATAGGTGAAAGTAGTATCTCATCCGTCAACCTCAACACCATATTGTGTTTGGCGTTCAAAATCAGTTAAAATTTAAATGCCTAATGTGTTTTCAACAATTCTGACAAATGTATTAAATTTAACTGTTAATGACCATTCTGTGACCTTTTGTGACCTATAAGGTCAAAATAGAAGTCACCATTGAATTCAGGGTTAACTTTCAGTTCAAAGAAGTTTGACATTTAAATGGCATTTCATGACCTTTTGACCTTGAAGGGTGTGACCTATAGTGTCCATCTTCGAATTCGTCTTAGCCTTTGACGTTAGGAGTTTAACTTCAAAATTAAGTCTTTTCGTTCAAAAGTTATCGGACCAAGGGACGGAGAGACGGACGGACGGACATAAAGATCTTATAAAATGCTTTTACCCCTTAATAAGCAGAATAAATCCGCAATGACAGTAAAAGGAATTAAATAGCTCTCATGCTACGCTAATAAATTGTGATGGATTAGTGTGCAAAACTCACCCGTTGATTCGCCGCAGCCGCAATGCAGAGGGACGGATACCAGTAACTGCAGTAAAACGTGTAGCGCATCCGCATGAAGATGTTAGCGTCTCCGTTCCCCACTTCAAACACGTTGGTCGCATAAAAGGGCAGATTTCCCGCGATAAAAGCGCCATTGATTAGAGCCATCGCGTAGTTAATTTTATTCGTGATGGCCTTGAGCCACCAGTAGTGCTCCAAAACCTGGGAATTAATAAGTACAAAAAATTAATGTAATCTTTTCTATGTAAACGGTAATATTGATAATGTTTCACATGTTGAAATCCGGATGCGGAAAGAAATTACTGCAAGAAACTGTTAATTTTGTTCGGTAATTTAAGAAATGCATGAATTTAAGAACTGAAAAAATTATTTGGTAATCAAGTGTAGAATTGCTACAATTATGTAAATGTGGTACGATGCATTTCTTGCACCTTGCACCAATTCTTGCATTCCCACTATTCCCACAATTTCTTGCATTTCTTGCACCTTCCATACTCAAAATTTCTTGCATTTCGTACATTCCCACCATTTCTTGCACTTTCCGCAACCTTAATTCTAGCATTTCCTGCACCTCGCATTATCCTAATTTCTTCCACCTCGTAGATATTTCTCTCAATTTGGTGCAGTAAATTACGTACAAAAAATATAAAAACGAGACGCCCCACTGACCTCATTTGGATCCAGCGGATTCGGACTGCTCAGCGTGGTCCGGCGCATGTCTGCCGCGAAGCTGTCGACCAGATTGCTGAACATGAGGACCGTCATGGTGAAGAGGACGTCGGAAAAGGCGTTGAACAGCTTTTCCAGCAAACTGCCCGTGATGGCGAGCAGCCCGAAGCAGATGGGGCAGAGGTCGGTGATGGGTCGCACGCCCAGCGCCCAGGCCGCGTCCTCCATCCAGTAATCCCAAAAACCATACCAGCTCCATCCGTGGTCCAGAAAAGTTTCCAGAATTTGGAGGACCAAAGTTCCCAAACAGCCGATGCAGATGATGGCCGAAATTCGACGAGCCTTAAGAAGAAAGTTGCATTTCATTAAGGTTGGTTGCGGGTTTTGAATTTAATTTTTTGTCTTTGTCCATGTATTTAAGTGGCGATTTAGAAACATATTCATGTACAAGCGTTTTTTCATAAAAACGAAGATTTTGTGGCATCCAAAAACCGATAATTTTAGTTTTGAAAAGTTTTCAGGTTATAATTTTGGTTTAAAGCATATTTAATTGAAAATGGATAAAAAATGATGGGAAAAAATTAAATATTTTGTTTAGTACAAGAAACAAAACAGAAATATAGCTTAATTTTGCAAACCTAAAAATTATCGATTTTTATGTAGATATATGCACTAAAATTACAATTTTATAAGAGATGAACATGTTTCAAATTACCATTTGAATACCTGGAAAAAGGGAAAGTTGCGACGCAAAAACTTAAATTCAAAATCCGCATACAATGGACCCTTAACCCAGAAATAGGATGATCGAGTTTTGAATGAAGAAAATTTTTTTGAACAGGTTTCATAAATTTGTCTTACCTTTCGAGAATTCCTGTAATTCCGGTAGTACTTGTGGTTGTTGACTTGAAGGTCGTGAAACACGTCGGTGACCTTGTGCGCCTGGAAGCCAAACCAGATAAAGAGGACGGCCAGGAAGGTCGTATCGAAAAAGTAGTACGCCACTTGGAAATACAGATCGGGATTCTGAATCGGGTCCATTTTGGACATTTTCAACACCCGGCAGATGAAGTACACTGTCGTGCAGGCGTAAAGGGCTCGCTGTAGGAACTGGGAATTAACAGAGGGTGAACTTATTTAGAAAACTGGTAATAAATCATTATGATCGGAGAACATATGACTCTGAAGACGTGGTAATAACTGACATTATTAATGTTATGGTTAAAAAAATTTGTTAGTCAGAATTTAAACTGCTAATTTAACCAGTTTGGAAGAAAGTTTTTATGTACCAAACTTTTAACAGAGGGTGACACAATTAGGAATTTATGGATTGGTCAGAATTATTTAATAAGCGATCGGCTAAATTACTAGAAAATGGACAATTTTACCAAGATTTCTAAAATCAGAAACGTATTTTTTGATTTACTACTGATGTAGCATGCCTAAAATCGTGGGTACGTAAGAATGCGTCAATTCACTCGGTAACTTGTAAATTCTGATGTTTTGTTAAATTATAGAACAAATTTTTACAAAATACGCCCTTTAATTGAACAAGATTACAAAATTTTTGAGCAAATTTTGCGTCGAAATGTGTGTAAAATTTGAAGTAGTAATGGTTCGTAACTTTATGGAGTTTACAAACCAACACCGGAATCGCTTCATTAAAATCTAACAAGTTTTACAAGAGATCAAACATTTGTAAATTAAAATTTGCTTTCGGTGAAATTTTGTGTGCACATTTGTAAAATTTTTGAAAAGTTTGTAACTTTAGAAAATTTAGAGACGGCAATTATTAAAATAAAAAGTGATACTCACAATCTGCCTTCGTTTCTTCTTCATTTTATAGAGTCCAGTGTTCCTGTCCCATGAATAGCGGAACGGGGTGAGCAGCGTGTAGTAGGAAAAATCAAAGAAGATTTTCCAATATTGCGCCGCCTGGTTTTCGAACGGCGCCGAGTCGACGTCCTTATCCTTAAACTTATCATTTAAGGTGAATAGTCGGTCCACTGTGGAAATGAAAAATATGAAGAACGTGAGACTTAAATAAATATTTATTTAGCTATAATATTGTACCCCACATCATTGATGTATGTACGTCCGTACACCCTTCTGTATGTGGTATTAAAATCGGATTACAAAACTGCACTATTAAAAATAATGTTCTTCGGAAAAATAAATGCACTCTAAATTCTAACGTAAGTAAACTATGCAAAATTTAGAGAAAACTTTCATCTTTATCAAGCTAACGTTTCTATTGATTAGCCTACTTAATTTAGAATACACATTCGATATATTTTATAAAAGGTTAACTATATTTTTAAGAGTGTGGTATTGATGCCATATATTCACTGATAATACCATGTGGTAATAGCTGTATTTTGATGTCAAAATTTTACAATACATATTTGTGGCAAATTTTCAAGTAATAATTTTCTAACCTAATTTGTACGCAAAATTGTGTACCAACATGTACGAAATTAAATATCAAAAAATCAATTTCGATTTCTATCAGTGTTTAATTAAGGTTTAAATGAAACTGAAAATTTTGAAATATGTAAATTATGAATACCAAATTACATACCTTGTAGATTATGCGCATCCCCAAAGGAGACGACTTGCGCCTCAAATCGGGTCGGTTTCCCCGAATCGGATTTCCCGTCGCGAAACATCTTGGACACCGACTGGACAGGAAAGCTTGACCTTTAAACGTGTATATCCAACTTGAGGGTAATCTCACCTAAAATTTTTAGTATTTACTGCCAAAACGGATATTTAATCTTTAACGCGAAGGTGATTATACTGCTTTTCAACTGCAAGGTGAACTAATTAATGCAGGTAATTACACCTTTCAAGAACTTTCTTTGGCTCATTAGCCATAAATATTTGCTATTTGATGCTATGCAGGCATCTAGACCTTCCTAAATACAGATACACTCTTAAAATTGTGTTTCCCTTTCGAAAAGTAAATGCAGTCTGAATTATAAAGTATGTAAGTTAGGTAACTATGTATGTATGTATGTAAATATAGGAAATTCAAAGTAAAGTTTATGCTGGATTTAGAAAAGCTTGCTTAATACCGAATTCCGGGTGTGTGTAAATATTTGGTTTTTCAAAAGAGGAACATTATTTTTAAGAGTGCTTAACCAACCCAACCAAACATGTCCACCCTTAGAAATCCGTTAATGAAATTATGTACATGTACAAAGCGGTATATGTACCAAAGTAGTACTGACAAGTCTTGTACACTCTTAAAAATAATGTTCCCCATTTTGAAAAGTACACGCATACATACATACACTCAAAATAAGGTAGTAATGAATCATTACCATGCTGAATCACTATGTGTCTCTACCACGTCGGTTACGATTTGTCGTAGAAATGGTAATAATAAGTTCAGGGAAATTCAAATTTAATACATAATGGTATTCACTTCTTAAAATTTGGTGATGAATTTGAATTTCTTTTAACTTATTTATAATAATCATTTCTACGACAAATCGTAACCGACGTGGTAGAGACACACAGTCATTCGGCATGGTAATGATGCATTGCTGCCTTATTTTGAGTGTACATACATAAATGCACTCTGAATTCTAATAAGTTATGCAAAATCCAAATTAAAATATTGTACTCTTTATCAAGTTAAAGTTATTCCGGAGTTCGCATACCTAGTGTACATACATGGGTAATTTGGAATCTATGTAGATTTTAAGGAGTGTAGCATTATTTTTAAGAGTGTCTATGGACAAGTATCAACCTAAGAAAATAGTAATGTAGTCACACACTTTTTTTGTATATGCATCTAAACTCTCCTTAAACAATCGTTAATTCGATGGGGGTAATTATCTAGCTCGTTGTGCATCAAGGTGGACGCGGAAGGTTTTGTGGTATAAATTATTTCGGGATAATGTGGACTGGAGGAAATGGTTGATTTGATGTATGTATTTTTAACGTGATTGTTTAACCCTACATTCTGACGTCTAATAGTTTCATCAATAAGTAAATTGTGTCAAGACTCTGGGTTCCGTGCTTAAGCTAAACCATTGAAAATGTAGGTGTATGTATGTATATAAGTAATTGGCTACTCGGACAACGGTGAATGTGACTTGAAAAAATCATTTAAACGTTCCTTTCTGGGAATATTTTTTGATTAACAATGGAACCTTTTTTCAAGCTACACCGGGATCGATTAGCGAGTTATGTCAACAAATCAAGCCAAAAATTAGGAGTCACATGACACTTATCTTTCCGTTGAATGGCCCCTTTGAAGAAAAATATTGGCGGTTAAGTTCAAGTTTTGAGCAAATTTTCTCTTGCGTTTTCCTCCACGGGGCGAAAACCAAGGCGCTCGTGTGAACTTTGACCTTTAATATTTTTCTTCAAAGGGGCCATTCAACGGAAAGATGATTGTCACGTGACTCCTAATTTTTGGCTTGATTTTTTGACATAGCTCGCTAGTCGATCCCGGTGTAGCTTGAAAAAAGGTTCCATTGTAAGTATCAAAATTACTAATCACTTCCACAATTACAAATATATGTAATTTTCTTAAGATTAGAAGAATACTGCAGAAAGCGATGTAAATATAGACATGTTGCCTTGAGGAGAAAATTCCACATTCTAAATTCAAAATTCGCAAATTTCGCAAATAACGAAATACGTAGGTAATTTAAATTATGTATTCACTAATTGCCGTGAGTTTTATCAGTATTCATGAAAATAGCGAAGTGCATAAATGTGCAAGAATTTCACAAAGAGTGCTATAAATAAAGAAGGACATGAATCGTTCGGAATTTAATTGCGATTATTGAGTATTTCTTGGAGTTAAGAATTCATACTTTATTAGGACAGAAAGCTACGGGCATTAAGAATGAAAACAAATCGTACGTTTTCATTGTCTTATTTTTGCAATTTGGTAGATTTACAAGCAATGTATGTAGTTCTTCCTATGAGTTCATATCTGTAGTCCTATGCATTTATTAGTTAATTTTGTGTTTTGACTTTGCGCATAAATATTTCAAAATCTGTTGAGTTATGTGCTCATCAGATTTTTAAAACTAATCCTTAAGGATGTATGTATGTACAGTGGGTTCTCAAAAGTATTGGTGGTCCATTTTCCGCTCGGTACCATGTACTATATTTTTGCCAAGGGACAGCCCTAGATTAATTCTTCAAGCATTTTTTAAGGCCAAACTAATTGCCTAGAAAATACTTCAAGCAGAATTTGAAAATCTGTCCCCGTTCGGGGGAAATTGAGAAAAGAGTGCCAAAAAATCATAAAAAATTGTTGCAAAAGTATTGGTGGTGCCATATTTTTTTAAATCTGCAGACCACGCACATCTGAATTCTTAGTCTCATCATTCGTATTAGACTTTTTTATACCACTATGGTAGAAATCTATTAAAAACGATCGAAATAGGTGAGTTAAGCATCGCTGAGAAAAATTTATCACCAGCATGCATGAAAGATGTCCTGGACCTCAAAATTATGACCTTCTGACCTCACTTAAGCTTGGGAAAACTCAGAATGTCTTTAAACGGTACAAGACAACTGGTACAGTGATCAGCAATACAAGAAAATACCGTCCAAGAGCCGCAGAACAACACCTAGGTAGAAAAATGACCTATAACGGTAACGACAATCGTCTTGCAAGGGTCTCAGATGTCACAAAAATAAGTAACGAATTACACATTGTAAAGATTCGATGCGGTAATAAAGAAACTAAGGTTCCCCACTTTATTTGACGGCATGCACCCCACCCAATCACTGAATCTGGTCCCGATATAGATGATATTAAATTCCGAACAGGCTAGGGAGCAAAACATAACGGATTATCTCTATCAATATCACCATTTACTTTCGAGCAGTCGATTCTATGTTGTTTAACTGATTGTTTCTGATGATTCCAATGTCCACTGATTCCAAAAAATAGAATTTGCCTTTATCGGATACCAGGATCTTGTCGTAATCATATTCGCTCATGGTGCGTGATTTTTTGACCATTGATATATTTTAAATACATTCTTCTTCCTATGCATAAATTGATATATCGGCTTCCTTCAATCAAAATTTGTTTCACGTAGCCTCCCACACTGAAAAGGGACACTCACGACCTGTCGTTTGAGTCCAGGGTACCCACTATGTTTTTTAGAATCTACTGGGACCCAAGATGAAGGATTCATTCATATTTCCGTGTAAAACTCATATTTGGCGTCGTGCCGTGGCGCCAAATTCGCTGAATTTGAATGTTTTTATTTTTGAAGCCGCCATAACTTTTGAAATCCTGGACGGATTTTAAAAATTTTTGGCAAAAATCATGACAAGGAGTTCAACTTTCGTATTCCATGCAATTTTTCCCAAAATTATAGTTTTTAACTTTTCGCAAAATTTCGTAATTTTCTTTCAAATGGAGGTTCGTCGAAAAAATGCTAAAAATATCTCAAAAATTAGAAATTTTTTATTTTTATTTTTTTCTCAAAAATGTCGACTTTTGTGATCATTTTAAGCATAAAATTTTGAAAATCCGACATAAACTGCAAAAGTTATGGGGGTTTGAAATTGGTCGAAAATGCAAATTTTTAAGTTTGGCGCCACGCCTTGGCGCCAAATATGAGTTTTACACGGAAATATGAATGAATCCTTCATCTGGGGTCCTAGTAGATTCTAAAAAACATAGTGGGTACCCTGGACTCAAACGACAGGTCGTGAGTGTCCCTTGTGAGTCAACTATTAAATTTTGTCATCCAGTATTATCTGGATTTTTTTTGTGACCACTGAGACCCAAGCCATACGGTTGTCGTTACCATAATGGGTCATTTTTCTGCCTATGTGTGATGCGGTGGCCCTTGGACGGTATTTTCTTGCTTTGCTGATCACCGTACCAGTTGTCTTGTACCGTTTAAAGACATTCTGAGTTTTCCCAAGCTTAAGTGAGGTCAGAAGGTCATAGTTTTGAGGTCCAGGACATCGTTCATGGATGCTAGTGATAAATTTTTGCTCAGCGATGCTCAACTCACCTATTTCGAACGTTTTTAATAGATTTCTACCATAGTGGTATAAAAAAGTCGAATGATGAGACTAAGAATTCAGATGTGCGTGGCCTGCTGATTAAAAAAAATATGGCACCACCAATACTTTTGCAACAATTTTTCATGATTTTTTTGCACTCTTTTCTCAATTTCCCCCGAACGGGGACAAATTTTCAAATTCTGCTTGAAGTATTTTCTAGGCAATTAGTTTGGCCTCAAAAAGCGCTTGAAGAATTAATCTATGGCTATCCCTTGGCAAACATATAGTACATGGTACCGAGCGGAAAATGGACCACCAATACTTTTGAGAACCCACTGTACGTAGCTATTTATAGATTGTTTTTTTAATCTCTTCTCAGAAGGCAAAACACAAAAGGGTACATATCGTCGCACTCATTCTAAAAAGACGTAAGTGCAGTCAATGTTTAATTTTAAAAAGACGTAAGTGCACTTTTAAAATTATAAATAGTAATTACTTGTTCAAAATTGTCGTGTCAATTGAAATTTGAGTTTATTGGCCCCCCGTTGGCTGGTAACGAAAGAAGATTTAAAATTTAAAAACCACACCCTCCGGGGGTGTGGTTCTTGGCGCCAAACATAAGGTGAATCAAATCCTGACTTTTATTTCTTTTCTCACCGCCATGAGGCAATTACCAAAGATTATTAAAAATTTAAAAACCACACCCTTAGTGGGTGTGGTTCTAGGCGCCTATTTTGCTCTAAATAAAACATAGCATGCAATATATCATTTTTGTCAGCCCGACAATCGATATTCGACGGTACACACAAAATTTTAAAACAAAACTTTCAGGGGGAGTGGTTCTTAAATTCAAAATTGAATTTTGACTTGATTACGCCCCCAAAGTTTCCAAAATTGAACTTTGACTTTGTTACACCTCCAAAATTAAAGTTCTACTTAGTTACACCCCCAAAGTTTCCAAAATTGAATTTTGACTTGGTTACACCCCCAAAGTTTCCAAAATTGAATTTCGACTTGGCAACACTCCAAAATTTTCCAAAATTGAATTTTAGAAACTTTGGAGGTGTAACAAAGTCAAAGTTCAATTTTGGAAACTTTGGGGGCGTAATCAAGTCAAAATTCAATTTTGAATTTAAGAACCACTCCCCCTGAAAGTTTTGTTTTAAAATTTTGTGTGTACCGTCGAATATCGATTGTCGGGCTGACAAAAATGATATATTGCATGCCATGTTTTATTTAGAGCAAAATAGGCGCCGAGAACCACACCCACTAAGGGTGTGGTTTTTAAATTTTTAATAATCTTTGGTAATTGCCTCATGGCGGTGAGAAAAGAAATAAAAGTCAGGATTTGATTCACCTTATGTTTGGCGCCAAGAACCACACCCCCGGAGGGTGTGGTTTTTAATTTTTAAATCTTCTTTTGTTACCAGCCAACGGGGGGCCAATAAACTCAAATTTCAATTGACACGACAATTTTGAACAAGTAATTACTATTTATAATTTTAAAAGTGCACTTACGTCTTTTTACTAGTTTTTTTTGTGCACTTACGTCTTTTTAAAATTAAACATCGACTGCACTTACGTCTTTTTAAAATTAAACATCGAGTGCAGTTACGTCTTTTTAAAGTTAAACATTGACTGCACTTACGTCTTTTTAGAATGAGTGCGACGATATGGATTATTGGTTGTCACATTTAAACTGGGTAAAAAAGTAAAGCAGCCTAAATACCCTAAATATGTACCCTTTCTCATACTCTAAGAAATCTACAAAAACTATAATCATGTATGTATGTAAATATCCGTTGGACTATAATAAACTGGTATTTATAAGTAATATGTACATGTGTAAATGTGTACATTGTAGTAATAAATACTTACTATTTGTTCGGTGTTAAGGTTTCAACACATCAGTAGCAAATTTGTAGGGACCAGTACAATTTTAATACCAGTATGTATAGAAACTTTACTATTGAGAAATCAATACTACCAGATGTTTATGTAAATATGTCTAAAAATCGGGTAATTTTACCCTACTTATATCTGGGGAGCTTTTTTAAAGGGTATCCACTGGACTATTAGTCCACTGGATACCCTGAAACCCAAGTTAATAAACCCAACTGCATTTGTACTTGGGGTCTACCCAACGAACAATGGAACTATTGTTCAAACTAAATTAGGGTTTTCTAGCGAGTTGTATATGTCAGAAAATCAAGTCCAAAATTTGGAATTCTATGGCAATTGTAAATATTTCCGTTGAATGACCATTTCAACAAATGTATTAGGAGGCAATAAAAAACGTTCCAGTGTCTAGGATTAATCTACATATTTATTTAGATATTTAACCCTTTTTGACTAATCCTACATAAATGTAGGGTTGACATTCATTCCGTTTTCTTTTTTTAGGAAGGGTCACCCAAATATGGATCCTTTAAACGTTCGAATTCAGATTATCTAACCCATTCCTGAATTTCATCCAGTTAAGTACACACGCAGAAAAGTGAGCTACTCACATAAACCAGAATTTGTACGAATTTATTGTTCATCCCCTCCAGAAAATTATCCTACTTTAAAAATTGAACAGAACGAATTATTTCACCAAAGAAGTAAATATGGCTTCGTATTTTCACCAATTTGTAAAAAATGTGCGAAGTTACGTGGCAACTTGGGTGTGCGAAAAATGTGAGAATTGTAGCGTTAAGAGAAAATGTTGTGAGGAGGATATGAAAATTGAGGGTGAAAGCGCTCCCCCGACGAAGAAAGCCAATCTTGAAATTCAAATTCACACCGATTCGTGTCAATGTTGCGGAAATGTGGCAGAAATTGAGGGTTCGTTCTGTTCGAAAAACATTTTTTTAACTTATCCTCATTCATTTAAAATTGGATGCAAGTATTCATTCATTATTCATTCATTTACTTCAAATTTATGCCAAATTTAAAACCAATAAAATATAGCTTGAAAAAGTAAAAATTTCTAAGGTGAGGAAGTGCAGTTAAAAGTATTAAACAAGTTCCCTCCGCCACGCAGATAATTTTACTTCGCCTGGGCTGTCTATTGCATGCAAAATATCGACAATAATGTTTCGTCACGTAAGAAAATAGGGATTAGAATTAATTTCTTGGTCCACAGTTAACTTTTGAATTGGTTAATATCCACTGCAGGGTGGTAAGGGTATTAGCAATTATGAAAATTGGTGGTAATTATTAGATAAGGTTCATCCGTCCCAAAATATTCATTAATTATTTGTATAACTAGGTCGATATCGTGCTCGTTGATAAGTCGTATTGCGTATTGATAAATCGACATATTTTAAACCTATAGTATACATTACAATTTTGTAATGTATACTATACGTTTGTTTTAACAAACATTGTTTTTAGATTTGTTGAGTGACTCTTTTAGCAACTTATTTACAACCGATTTTTATTTACAACAGATATTTTGCATGCAGTAGACAGCCCAGGCGAAGTAAAATTATCTGCGTGGCGGAGGGAACTTGTTTAATACTTTTAAGTGCACTTCCCCACCTTAGAAATTTTTACTTTTTCAAGCTATATTTTATTTAATTCTTTTTTATGCCTTTAAATTTTAGAAGCAAACATAGAACATAATCATTATTGCACGCAATTGCATTTACCCCGTTAGGCTTGCGTAATTCGTTCAAATTTAGAGCACACGTTTTAAAAATGTCAGTTGAAAGGTGCCAAGTTTCGATATGCCTAACCCACTTAAATTTGCGTTTCGACTAATGTGTAAACTTAAACCTATTTATAACCATTGGGGACAATTAGCGACTTCAAAAGGGTCTCTCCACATAAATATTTTCCCAATTCCAGTTCATATTCTTCAATTAGTTACGACTAGAAACCGCTGTACGAAATTACAACTCGATTTGATGATGTTGAGAAATCAGTATGGGTGGCCCCAGAGTGTCCCTCCAGATGAAAATTTTTCCAATCTTAATTCATATTCTTCCATTAAGAGCCACTAACAATCTGCATGCCAAATTTCAGCTTTCTATGACAATTTTGAAATCTGGTGCATAGCACCCCACCCACTTACAATGCGATGGTGTGACGTGGTTATCGCCGATATCCACCGTACTAATTTTAAATTGTTCACGCTCAAAAATAAGTGGACCCGTATTTTTTCATTTTGCTGAATGGGGATGTTTATGCCCGTGGAGGAATTTTCAAAAAAAATTTCAGCCAAAATTCGGATTTTTAAAAACGCTGTAAATTTTCGAATTTTAGCCCGATTTAAAAAATTAAACCCAATTTGTGTTCAGAATTATATCCCTGAAAATATAAAAATTCATTTTCAAAAATTTTTTAAATTTAATATTTTCATGCCATTTCTGAGTTTTTAGAAATGAGAAAAACGATAATTTTTTGAAAATTAAAAAATTTTTGAAAATGAAATTTTATATTTTTAGGGAAGTAATTCTGAACACAAATTGTATTCAATTTTTGAAATCGGGTTAAAATTCGAAAAGTTACAGCGTTTTTAAAAATCCGAATTTTGGCTGAAATTTTTTTTGAAAATTCCGCTAAGGGTGTAAACATGCCCATTCAGGAAAACGAAAAAATATGGGTGGGCTTATTTTTGAGCGTGAACAATTTAAAATTAGTCCGGTGGTTATCGGCGATAACCACCTCACACCTCCTCATTGTTAGATGACCCCCACGGGTCAACCATTTGACTGATTTCGCCCACCTTCGAACATATTTCCTAACTTTGTCCAATATGCATATGGTAAAATTGCAAGTCTATCGTGTTCACGGACGGACATGACGGTCCCATAAGCCCGGGTGTGGGCTAAGACTATAAATTACTCCATAGCGAGGGTGTAACTATATAGTTACTATATAGCAACCATCCGGAAATTTTCGTTATAAGGAAAAGTCACTGGTTTCTCAACCAATCGACCCAATTCTTGTTTCCGCTTATAGTAAAGTGGGGGCGATCTTTCATAAATTTAGATACCCAGCTATGTATGTAGGTAGTCTCCTTCATACATAAACTGCGAAACGCAACCATTCATCACCATCAAAATTTTTTTCTGGGAGGTCATATCGAAAAATCCCTAAAGATAGCACTAGATTATGTCCGTAATTGATTTTTTGGTCTCTTTATTTTTTTCTCTAAAACGCACCCCCTTGGCTGTAGGACGCGGTCAAAGTTTTCGAAGGGGGGGGGGTGAATGCATACTAAGGTGTAACTGTAACTATAGTTTTTTTTACCTCACCTTAGAAAAACTACTATTTATTACTTTATTATTTCATTCTTCAATCATGAATATGTTTGTATGAAATGAATGAATAAATATTTATTCAGTACGCACTAATTACAAAATTTTAAAAACAATTATTAACTCATTGTTCATCAATTTGCTGAATAATGAATGAATAATTGATTAAGTCTGTATTAAATTAATATTTATTCAGTACGCACTAATTACAAAATTTTAAAAACAATTATTAACTCATTGTTCATCAATTTGCTGAATAATGAATGAATAATTGATTAAGTCTGTATTAAATTAATATTTATTCAGTACGCACTTATTACCAAATTTTAAAAATAATTATTCACTCATTGTTCATCAATTTGCTGAATAATGAATGAATAATTTATAATTCTGTATTATATTTATTTTATATATTTTTTCAAATGAATGAATGTGAACAGGTACGGTCCCCAACACAGAAGATGACGAAAATGACGACGCCGAATTTGTCAAAAGCCACGAAATCGATGCATCACCTTGTCGCGATGGCCTTCATGACCCCGAGTTTAACGACCGAATCGACTACCTCCGCAAGACGTTTCTAAATCCCATCAGGTTTCCCGCCTTGTACAAATCCGCCAATATTTTTCCTCCGAAAGGAATGTATTTCTTCGGCACTGGAATAAATGAACGGGCCCTGGAAACCATTAAAGAATTCTCGACCGACCTTAGCGAAGAATTGGGGGTCGAACGGGTCCCAATTTTTAGAACTACGCATGTCGACGCGTACAGGAATTGTGAGGGGGCCGAGACTTCCTTCGTGGATAAGGTGTTCGAAGCAGCGGTAAAGTTCACACCGTCGATAATCTTTTTCCCAGAGTTGGACAAGTTTGGGACACCGCATAGCAGTAAGTTTTAAAATTTTTTAAAAATACCGAAAAAAGTGTTAAATTTCCATAGAAATGCTTTGAAGGTTTGTAGCATAAATTAGCCAGTTATTTAATTAGTGTATTGAATACACTGTATTCACTATAATCGAATTAGCAGAGAGATGCGTGCATACGTACATATCTCGCTGCGTTATTTTGCATAGCGTTTGCTAAATTTTCCTAAATTTTAAATTTCAAAATTTTGCTACATTATAAATTTTAAAAATTTTGCTAAATTTTAAGTAGATTACACCCTGAAAAATAATGTCACACTTTTGAAAATTAAATCCACTCTGAATTCTAAATTAAGTAAATTATTCAATGTAAATCCTGAATAAATTTTACTATTGATATTATATTGATTTACTTTACTTAATTTAGAATTAAAAATGCATTTACTTTTCAAAGGGACAGCATCATTTTAAGAGTGTATCTGAAACTAAACATTTTTGCATTGTTTAATTACACTTTTTTTCAGAAGAAGCTTACAAGTCATAGAAAGTAGGGAATGTCCATATATTACGTCATCATTTTAGTGGGTGGGTGGTTTAGGTCTTCCTATCTCCCGATGTTAAAATTCCATATCCCTTACTTATACGTTGACTGAGTGGGTGCTAGAATGGAAAATTTCTGATGACGTAATATATGGATGGCCCCTAGTATGTACGGTGATAAAAAAACTGAAATTTTAATTTTTTATTTATTTTGATTTAGCTCGACGTGACGAAATCGTGGCGAAAATTTGCTATTACATGGACGCCCTCGTCGCTGGGGAAGTCTTCGTCTTCGCCACCGTGGACGCCACGCCGCCCGCCCCCTTCAATCGGCTGAACGGTCCCCCCCGCTTCTCAACAGGGTACCACGTCGCGACAGCCGTTCTAACTTCAGGGGTTCTTGCCTTTCTCAAGACGGAAACGGAAAAATGGAAAATTTCCGAAGAAAATAATTCCCGGGATGAAATTTTAGCCAAAGTTTCCGAAATCCTGTCCAGTTACCCCGATCCCATAAAACATTTCGACTTAACTACACTTTGTCAGGAAATGTATCACACGATAATGCAAGAAGCGCTAAATAGTGCGGGGAAACATGCCTGTGATTGTTGCACGTGTCCCCCGCCCCCGCCCAAATTTCCCTCTTTGCCCCAGTGGGAGGCGGGAATTAAGGCGCACATCAAGCCAACAGAGGCGACTAAGGCAGTTGCAGCAGTGGCGGCACCAGCAGCGCAGCCGCAAACTGAAAAATGGGACGAATTTAAGGTGGAGGAGGATCTAAGTTTAAAAAAAATGGCGGGTTGGCGGGACAAATTCAAATTTTGCGGGGGAATATAATCACCCCGCTAAGGAATAGGGACAAGTTGAGACAACTCGGGTGGCAGGTGGAGCCTGTGCGGGGGATTATTTTTCATGGTCCCGCAGGAACGGGGAAAACGTTGCTGGGGAAAACTTTAGCGGCGGAGTTGAGTCGGCTAGATGACGGGAAAGGGAAGTTTGCCTTCTTTTATCATAAGGGGACGGAGTGTTATTCGAAATACGTGGGGGAAACGGAGGCCAAGTTGAGAGCGATTTTTGCCAATGCAGAGGCGAAAAAGCCGGCGATAATTTTTATGGATGAGATCGATGGGATTTGTAGGGTGCGGGATGAAAGCGGTGAGTTTGTGAAAATTTTTGTCAAACTTGATAGGACCCATTTTAGGTACAAAATTTTTAAAAAGATGGGATTTCAGGATTTTTGTCTGATTTGGCATACTCGCGACTATTTAGCGTACATTTCACAAATTTAAGCTAAAATAAATTTGGCGGAACGGAATTTGCAAAAAGTTAAGATAAAATTTCAAGTTTCTACCATCGCGTATTTCTGAGTATTTAGTATCGCGATGTATTAATTTTTTTGGTCTGGCCGAATCTGTACAAGGTGATTACGTAAATTCCGCAAGGTTTATAAAGTCAGATTCATTAACCAAATTAGTTTCCACCTATGCACAATTTTGAGAAAATTTTGCAAAAATAACTTTGGTATTTAAGTAGAAATTTTGCAAAAGCGTGAAAATAATGTTCCATTTATAGTTTTAAAATTTTTGTAAATTTTTGACCTTTTCCAGCATCCAAATTCTACACCGGCGTAGTGACCACGATCCTCGGTCTGATGGATAACCTTCCCCGCGGGGAAGTTTTCGTCATCGCGGCGACAAATCGTCTTACAAGTCTCGACCCCGCCCTCCGCCGTCCCGGCCGATTCGACAAATGTGTAGAATTCCAAGCACCTAAATTTGCCGGGCGAAAAGCAATCTTGCAAATTCACACGGCCACGTGGGACGCAAAATCCAAAATGGAGGACAATTTTGCAGATGAAATTGCCCAAATGACGGGCGGATACACGGGCGCCGATTTGGAACAAGTTTGCCGCCAAGCGTTCACCTTAGCGATGAGGAGGCATTCTCAAAATGCCCCAGAGGAGAATGTCCCGCCAGTTGATTTTGATGGTTTAATCGTGCAAAAGCAGGATTGGTACGGATCGCTGAAATCGGTCCGGCCAAACGGGACGAATTATTTTGGAAATGCGGTCATTACCGACAAACCGATTCTCGCGGGGGCCGCAGCCGCGCTGAAGGGAAAAGTGGACGAAATTACGAAACGGTTAGCGTATTTTCTTAACAAGTCAGAGCAGAGCGGGAGTTTGGATATGGATTCAAAATCTGGCGGGGTGCTGAATAGTTTCCTAATTTGGGGGAGTGATGCGAAACAGGTTGGTCAAAAATTTGCATATATACATTCACGTAGTCCTTTGGCACCTTCGTAAATTTTGTAAACTCTTCCAAATTTAACAAACCTTTATTATGTAAAATCTTGAGGGAAAATTAGCCCCCAAATTTCTGTAAAATTAGTTATGAAATTATTGTGCAAATCGTATGGATTCAACGAGTTATGAATAACTGCGTGAATTGCCTCACTATAAAAAATGAAAATTCTGAAATATTTTTGAATAGCTTTAATTACCAAAAAAATATAATTTTTAATTTTCCGGTTACCAGTTTTACCATGATTTTCTGAATAAATTATGATTTTTTTATTTATTTTCAGCTTAAAGTAATCGAGCATCTGTTAATTCCCGCCCTCCTTTCTTCGTCCGAATTTAGTTCCGTGGTCGCCGCCAAGTTCGAAATTCCTCCCCTCGGAGTAGGCACGGAGGTCGTAGAACGCCGAATTTCTGCCACGTTTGCTCAAGTCCTTAACCCGGGTGAGGACAAGCTCGGAGTTTTGTACGTTCCCGGGATCGATCACTTGTTAAATACAAGAATTGGCAAGTTTTCGGAAATGAAGGAACACGACCAGATTTTGGACAGTTTTGAAATCCTGCGAGGAGAAAAAGTCCTCCTGCTCGGGACAGCTACCGGTTCGCCGGACCAGATGAGTGACAGGGTCCAGGGCCTGTTTAGAGGTGAGTGATCTTCAAGCTGTTAAAGTTTGAAATTTTGTGCTAAGTGTGATACATTTTGTACATTTTTGTAATATTTTGGTACAAAGTTTTGTGCATTTTGTGGCAAAATTTGTATTCATTTTATAAATTTTGATACAATACTTTGATATATTTTTCCCATGTACGGTGAAATTGCGTAATTTTGCTCATTTTAATAGAGTTTTGATAAGTATTTTTTAATTTAGATTCATTTTGGTAATGTTGTGCATTTTGATACAAAAATTGTTATAGCTACATATTTGCAGTTTGTAACAAAATTTTTATGTTTTTTGTATATTTTTAACAAAAATTATGACATTTTTTGCCACAAAGTTATGATCGATTTTTTATTATTTTGATACACAATTTTGACGAATTTTTGTGCATTTTAATACAAAATTTGTTTCACGTTTTCAGGCCTGTAGAACACTCGACTTTACGAATTCACAGCTCCAAATGCGACCGAGATACGACTCGTATTTTCTCAGATTTCTGCAAAAATTCCGACAACGCCGTTTGAAAAAATTATGACAAAATTAGGCTGCTCTACGGAAGGAGGAAACAAGTTTAAGGCTAGAAAAAATTTGACTTTATACGATTTGCTTGATTTTGAGGGGGAAATTACCCAAATTAGTGCCCAATTTGATCTCAAATCAGATCAAGAGGAGAAAAGTGAAGAATTCTATGTCGCCCTTAACAATGCGACGAACGCCTTTTGTTCATATTTAGATGGGCGAGAAAAATACAAATCTGCTCTTTCCACCATGTACACTTAGATATCTTCTTATCTTCGTAAAATTATTTGATAATAATTATTTATTAACATTAATGTCTTACTATTTAATGATTTCTCAATTCCGAACTAATCCTTTTCAGATTAATTTCAATCGCTATTCAATACATTCTTACAAATAATAAATGTAAATAATGAGTGAATATGTTTTTTCAAAATTTTTGGACGACTGAATATGTATTCTCTTCATAACTCTTCATACAGATATTCGTGAAGGATGAATTAATAATTGTATTCATTAATTATTCTGCGTGTTATGCTTAAATCGAGTAAATAAGGTGAACTTGAAATAAATTGAAGAAAAACTGAGTAAATAAAATATAATTATTTATTTTAGAACCTTTAATGAGTCACTTATTACTAAATAACATTTTCTGGGTCGCAGCATTTTTAGCCAAAAAATATGTTTCAAGAGGTACGATTCAAAATAAGGGACGTTCGTAAACATCATAACGCAGTGGTAATGTTATCGTGCCTAAATATGAGATACAGGTTGGTAAAAAAATTTGGACCAAAGTCAAAACTTGCGTTGCAAAGTTTACGAACGTCCCCACATATTTAGCACTCACCAATATATTTATAAAACTCATGTTTTTGCTTATTCGATTTCACAATTATGTACTAAATCCAGTCATACATATTGTCAATGCTATGGCCGGGTGCACCTGTGGCCGTCAAAAAGTCCTGGCTGCTTGACACAATTGAGACCTGCAGCACAGGGGCAAAACCAGTTTAGTGGGTCTCGTCTGTCGGAACAAAGGCGACCTTCCGGTGACAATTCCACGCACTCCTTCAGTTCCTTCTGCTCAGAAAAGTTGCAAACATTTATGGTTTGTATGGTATTTATGTATGTATGAGTTTCTTTTACAAAAGTGGGTCTAATTTCAACACAAGGACCATAACTCGATCGGGTTGTAAAAACAAAGCGGCTGACACAGCAGCCATAAATTCTGCACTAAAAAAAGCCTAAAAAACCAAACCATATTTAGTTCAGTTCTATACTACTAATTCTTATTCCAACATAAAATAAGCAGTAGCTTTACCATATTAAAATACATAAATTAAAAAATCACTAAACTAAAGTATACAAAATTTATTCAAAATAAATAGCGGACGACATAAATTTTATCCAACGTGGAAAAAATTTGAACCCATTTTTGTGTCATACTCTATTTTATGTACTCCTGCTTGAATAAATTTTACACATCCTTATTTAGAGTGTAAATATGTATACGTACACATTTAATTCATAAATTGATTCAGTGAATACATAATTTGATTGAGCGAAGTTGTCTTTAATATTAGTTGGAAGAAATTTATCAAATTTTGAAAATAAAGTAAATAAAATATCTGCATACATAAATTTAAGATAATGCAAATTAGCCCGTGATCAATGAATTAATGTATCAGTAATTATGTGGGTCAGCAATGGAATTTAAAAACAATCTAAATGATTTGGCGTTACTAAAAGCGATAAATATTAAAATTCTCACGAGAGGATCCTCGAAGGACATGACACAGCACCCACTCGGACAGTCTGCATCAGAATTGCAGCTCTCGGCCGATCCCTGCACAATGAGAAAGAAGGCCACGGTGACCAGGGCAATTATTGTCCTCATCTCGGCTTGATTGGAAATTTTTTCTTGGAATGATCTGTTAGCAGGTTACACTCTTAAAAATAATGTTACTATTTTCAAAAGTAAAAGCACTTTGAATCCTAAATTAAGGTATAAACGGTGTTGATTTAATTTGTCCCGATTTTTTCTAAATATTTGACAACTTGTAACTCAAAACCGGTGAAAACTTGGGTTCTTCTGGTAAATATTATGATTAATCACTTATCTGAACCATACGCATGATAAAGTTTCCAAGAAAAATATTTACTTGTCTGCAAATTATGCTTTAATATTGTTCGATCCCAAAAATTCATCATCGGGACGAATTGAATCAACACCCTTTACTAAATCCAGTGTAAATAAACTTTACTCTTTATCAAGTCAACGTTGCTCTGGATTTATGTAGGATAGTTTACATAATTTAGAATTTACGTTGCAGTTATTTTTTAAAAGAGTAACATTATTTTTAAGTGTGTGCATATGTATGTTTCCGATATTTTGGAAATGTTACAATTTTGGGATTTATTTTCTAATTGAAATTACCTATTTATTTGTGTCCCGAGACTCTGAACAGAACACTGAAAGTAATTGCGAGCAAGGTTATCTATTTTATAGAGATTCGCTCTTAATTTAAGCTAGGGAACGTGCACACATTATGTAATAAAAAAATATGCTTAGACTATCGACCAACCCCTTCATACTCACGATAAGCTTAACACGAGTAAAATACATATGGGACCTAAAACCACCCGCCCACCTTTTTGATGACGAAATTTATGGGTGTTCCCTAAACCAAAGTGATGTCATTTATGCTTAGCTTATTGATATATGATTGTAAGGACATTATTCTGCGATTAAGGGTGAGATTTGCCAAATAACAAGGAGGTCTCCCAGCGTATGCTCTCCGAATTTTTAGGAAATTAGTGCCAATCGAGCACAAATTTAATTGGTATACAACTTGCGAAACACACCTAGTGGGCACGTGGCAAAGATATGTATCTGCATCCGAAGAAGAGAAAACGCGCAATAAAATGCAAATTTTGTTAACTTTATGGCGCAATTATTGCTCTTAAAATGCAAATATCTTCGCCAAACGCCATTTTTCAAACTTCCTAAACTTCATCCTAATTAAATTTGTGATCGATTCGCGTTAATTTGTTCAAAATCGGAGAGCCTACGCTGGGAGACTTCCATTGATGAGTTGTTTGTTGGATAAGCCATCACGCGATTCAAGTCCAAAGTTTAGTGCGAATGTGGTAATAAATATGTGTAGTCAATAGTTCAAGAGTAAACAAACTCGTCAACATCTTTGATTTAAGACTTATGATTATACCTAAATATGCAAATGAGAGCTGCAATATTTGTTTGTCGGAAATTCCAGATTTGGTCGGGTTTGGTCCAATTTGGACATTTTTGGGACCCTTAAGTTCAAATGGGCTGTGTGGACGTACAGGATTATTTTCAGAAATGTGCGATAGGCCGTCTGATTCCTTTCATCAAGGCGTATCAAAAACATAAAAAGTAATTTTTTGGCCCGACCTTTGCGATCATCCACCATGCAATATATGCGAAGGAAGAACTTGACAGAAATGTCAGTTTGGGGTTGGAAGACGAAAATCTCTGAAACGCCCATCATCTTCACCCCAAAATCAGAATTTGGACTTTATCCAAGAAGAAATACTACAAGGTTTGTGAAACATGCGATACTTTAAAAAAGATTAAGTTCCAGCCTGTGAAAACCAACAATGAAGTTTCAAAATCTTTTGGAAAAGCATTAATGGCGGGCGTGATAAAAATAGTTAAATACAAGATGGACAATGGACTTAAGTCGTCTCTGTTTGCGGATATCTCACGATAGTTATATTTCGAATATTTTTTTATCATTTTTTCTTAGGTGAGGCATAGCCATGCTAGCATAGCCATGATCACATGAAAAAATGCATGGTTACGGCGAAGCCTTAGTATGCAAACAGACCCCCCCTCCAAATATTCTGCCAAAGATTGTGACGAAACGGCTAATCGTATCAAAATGGTGTAAAAGGCAATCGTGCAGACCTTGCTGAGAAGATGATGCCCGTCAATAAGAGAGCCATGACAATCTTATTTTAACGCATTTAAAATCGATTTTAAACTTTCAAACGACTGGCAAATTCACTTTTACCATGCAATGATAGTGCGAGACCCTGATTTTCATGTGCAGAAATCTATAACGCGTCATTTAAAGTAAACCCGTGCGAAATCGGATAAGAAATGAAAAACTTTTCTTGGTGGCATCTGCAACCAGTTGCAGTACATACGTTAATTATAATGGTTCTTTATTACTTATGATAAATCCACGTTTGAAACGTGACGTTTCTATTAGCAACAAGCACACTAGAAGCATGTAAGATCTGTATGTAAACCTGTATGTATGCACTTTCAGAAATCCAGTATAAAAATTGACTACCAAACTGGTATTGATTAGTACTACTGTGCGGTAATAGGTCGATATTAAAGCTTTACTATATCGGTAGTAAATTCTTACCCGCATAATTTTAATACTAATTGCAAGCAGTATCAACCACTTAGAATTCTAGTAGAGATTTGTAACAGTGTGTACACATACATAATGATGTAAGTGCATTTGTTGACTATGAGTTCACGGGTGATGGGGGAATTTAATTTGGTATGCCCCTATCCACACCCACTGGGGGATTAATTTCATATGCAACGCATCCGGGCTTATGAGGATTTAATTTGGTATCTATTATTGATGACAACTTGAAGAGACTGAAAAACAAAAAATAAACTAATTCTTTAAAAAAAACTTAGGTGAGGCTTGCTTAAAAGGGGAAAACAAGATGTTATCATCGTGTAGTAACATAATATGCTAAATCAATGTTCATCTCATGATTTATAATTTTCGGTAAACAGAACAGCAAAGTATATGCGTTTAGGACCATTTGCCTCGCCGTGGGCCCTTTTGTGAATTAAAATATTTTAAAACTAGCGTATAGCCCGGCCAAGGCCGGGTTCTAGAGTTCCAGTGGGGGGTGTGCCCAAAGCGAAAAATCCGTCATACTATATTTTAAATAATTCCCAGTGGAGACTTTGTCATACTACATACATACATCAGACTGAGGGTTTGCCCAAGTCATACTGCATTTTAATTAACCTGGTCACAGTAAAATTTGATTCCCCCCTGTGGAAGTAGTTGAATAGCTAATTACTTAAATTCCCGTCGTGTGGGAGTAACTGCATAGCTAACTATTCAAATTCCCACGCTTCACGCTCCCGTTAAGTTCCATAAACCCCGTTAACTTCTACAATTAACGCCAAGCTATTCACGGATTCGGATTCAGCGTCAAAAATATATTCGAATTGATATGCGACATCACGAATAAGCCAGATTTGGACACCACGGTCACGGCGAGGTCACGGGGGCCTCGCAGGTCAAAACCATTGACGGCGTTGGATTCAGCGTCAAAAATACATTCGAATTGACATGCCACTCGCTGTGGGTAGAGTTTCTCAAATTAAAATAATTAATTAATAGTGTTTATCACGATCACTTATCATGATAACCACTATTGATGAGTGATGTATGTATGTGGGGTGTACATGTTCATGTATTCATTTATTCATGCAGTGCAGTGCATGCATGCAGTGGTTGCTCCGCTTCCTTCTTTGTCTACTGTATGGGGCAATTTGCATTGCGAAGACGGACCCAGGGACCCAGGGATCATACTAACACTTTATTAGAGTAGATATATTAGTGTTCAGAGAATTTGTTACACACATGCGGCAAATACGTCGAATGGAACAATACATAACTTTTTGGTTAATTTTGTTATCCATAATCGATTTCTGATCATATTTACCAAACGTATAGGTTAATTTCTAATCTATATTATAATTTCGAAAAGTCCGTCCCGTGAAATTTTCAGTGACTTTCCTGCATTCTGATTGGCTGTTGACTTTCCTGCTCCACCAATCAGGGAACAGAAACGAATTATGATTATGATTACCATTATGATTATGATTATGATTATGATTATAATTATGATCATTATTATGATTATGATTATAATTGTGATTATGATTTCCATTATGATTATGATTATGATTATGATTATGATTATGATTATGATTATGATTACCATTATAATTATGATTATGATTATGATTATGATTATGATTATGATTATGATTATGATTATGATTATGGGTATGATTATGATTATGATTATAATTATGATTATGATTATGATTATAATTATGATTATGATTATAATTATGATTATAAAAATTTCCTTAGGAACGTTAAAAAAGTTCCTTAGCAACGTAAAAAAATTTCCTTAGCAACATAAAAAAAATTCCTTAGCAACGTTAAAAAAGTTCCTTAGCAACGTAAAAAAATTCCCTAGCAACATAAAAAAATTTCCTTAGCAACGTTAAAAAAGTTCCTTAGCAACGTAAAAAAATTTCCTTAGCAATATAAAAAAATTTCCTTAGCAACGTTAAAAACGTTCCTTAGCAACGTAAAAAAATTTCCTTAGCAATATAAAAAATTTCCATAGCAACGTTAAAAAAGTTCATTAGCAACGTCAACAAATTTCCTTAGCAACGTTAAAAAATATCCTTAGCAACATAAAAAAAATTCCCTAGCAACATAAAAAAATTTCCTTAGCAACATAAAAAAATTTCCTTAGCAACGTTAAAAAAATTTCATTAGCAACATAAAAAAATTTCCTTAGCAACGTTAAAAAAATTTCCTTAGCAACATAAAAAAATTTCCTTAGCAACGTTAAAAAAGTTCCTTAGCAACGTAAAAAAATTCCTTAGCAAGATAAAAAAATTTCCTTAGCAACGTTAAAAAAATTTCTTAGCAACATAAACAAATTTTCTTAGCAACATAAAAAAATTCCTTAGCTACGTTACAAAAATTTCCTTAGCAACGGAAAAGAATTTCCTTAGCAACGTTAAAAAATATCCTTAGCAACATAAAAAAAATTTCCTAGCTTCATAAAAAAAGTTCCCTAGCAACATAAATAAATTTCCTTAGCAACAATAAAAAATTTCCTTGGCAACATAAAAAATTTCCCTATCAACGTCAAGAAAATTCCTTAGCAACTCGACAACATTCCTTTGCAAGACCAAACAATTCATTAGCAGCGTTAAAAAGTTTCATGTGGCCCGTCTTTAGGACGGGCTTATAGGCTAGTATACAATATTACATGCAATAGCAGAACATGAATTTTTAAAATGTAGACCTATTCTGGAAATATATTCAAAGATTTCTTAATCACAAATTAACAGTTTAATTATAGCAAAATTTTAATATTTATGTAAGATGGCATATTTGTATTCAATTAATGACGGCCCACGGCGAAGCTAATGGTCCCAAACGCATATACTTTGCTGTTCTGTTTACCGAAAATTATAAATCATGAGATGAACATTGATTTAGCATATTATGTTACTACACGATGATAACATCTTGTTTTCCCCTTTTAAGCAAGCCTCACCTAAGTTTTTTTTAAAGAATTAGTTTATGGCATTCTTGGAATCATTTTTTGACCGTTTTTAAGTACAAATTTCACATCACCACTTCCCGGGGCGACCCCTCTAAATGAAAAAAAACGTCTTGTGAATAATTATAATTATGTGGAATAAATTATGACTATTTTTCCAAGCAAATTAGCACCATGTACTTATGGAATGGATGGATTTACATATGAGACCGCATAAATAATACTTGGAGACGTTTAGCATGTAAGCATGTACATTGATTAGAAGGTTTTACACCATTATTTAGGAGGCATTTCAGCATTATTCGAGAAATGTTTTTTTTCAATCTCCCTGGAAAATTATTAGATTATGTCCCTATCCCAGTTGATTAATTGTTAATAAAACCTTATCATTATCAGAAAACTTAGCCGATTGGGACATACATAAGATTTATATGTAACACAATAATCAATTTATTAACATCGTGTTTTCATGTGGTAAAAGATTTCAACAAATGTTTAATTAATCCCATCGAGTCATATTTATTGAACTATGGACCACGTTGACAGCGGTGGAGCCCAATTATTCCTGACTGGATCGTCCAGTCTGGACGCAAGTTAACCCTTCAACACAAGGGCAAAAGTAACCGCTGGGGTTACAAATTTCGCCCTCCTTCGGCATGGCCTGGCAGATGTCTCCCTGTGAAGAAAATGATTTAGGTTGTATAATGCAGTCAGGTGTAATATCATTACCAAAGATAATAAAATATTAACATGATACTAATAATATAAACAGCCTAAGACAGTCTAAATACCCTTTCTCACACTCGAAGAAATCTAGAAAAACTGTAATCATGTAAGTATGTAAATATCCGTTTGACTCTGCCAAACTGGTATTAATAAGTAATTACTATTAATATATACATATTAATATGTAAATATGTAAATATGTATGTACATTGTAGTAATAAATACTTACAAAGCTCGGTGTTAAGGTTTTACCGCATCAGTAGCAAATTTATAGGGACCCAGTAATATTTTAATACCAGTTATGCATCTAGAAACTTTACTATTGGGAAATCAATACCTGATTGATTATATGGAATGCTTATGAGTAAAAATAGGGCAATTTTGTCCTATATATTTCTGGAGAGGTTTTTTAAAGGGTATCCACTTAACTAAACCCAACTGCGTTTGTTCTTCGAATCCTCCTCACTAACAATGGAACCATTGTTCAAACTAAATTTGGATTTTATAGCGAGTAGTGTGTCACAAAATAAAGCCCAAATTAAGTAATTCTATTGCAATTTTGTTTCCGTTGAATGAGCCAAAAGTATTAGGAGGCAATAAAAAAGGCACCAGTGTCCAGGATTAACCTATTTATGTAGATATTTAACCCCTTTTGACTAATCCTAAATGTGCGACTGCCATTCATCCCATTTTCTTTTTCAGTAAGGGTCCCCCAAAAATAGATCCTTTACACATTCGAGTTTAGCTTATTATCTGGCCCATTCGTGAATTTCATCCAGTTAAGGACACACGCAGAAAAGTGAGCTACTTATTTACATAGACCAGAATTTGTACAAATTTGTGGTTCATTCTTTCCAGAAAATTATCTTACAGATTATATTTAGACTTATAAAAAATTTGAACAGAACAAATTTCACCAAAGAAATAAACATGACGTCGTATTTTCATCAATTTGTAAAAAATGTGCGAAGTTACGTGGCAACTTGGGTGTGTGAAAAATGTTGTGAGAATTGCGGCGTAAAGAGAAAATGTTGTGAGGAGGATTTGGAAATTGGAGGTGAAAGCGCTCCCCCAACGAAGAAAGCCAATCTTGAAATTCAAATTCCGACAGATTCGTGTCGAAAATGTTGCGGAATTGTGGAAGAAATTGAGGGTTCGTTCTGTTCAAAAAACATTTTTTAACTAATCCTCATTTAATTTAAAATTGGATGCAATTATTCATTAATTCTTCATTCATTTAATTCAAATTTATTCAAAATTTTAAAAAACTACTATTTATTATTTATTCGTTCATTTTTCGTGAATATGTATGAAATGAACGAATAAATATTTATTCAATACCCACTGATTACAAAATTTTAAAAATAATTATTCACTCATTGTTCATGAATTTGCTGAATAATGAATGAATAATTTATTAATTCTGTATTATATTTAATTAATATACATTTGCAAATGAATGAATAATATATTAATTCTGTATTATATTTATTTAATATTCATTTGCAAATGAATGAATGTGAACAGGTATCGTCCCCAGCAGAAGAGATGACAAAAATGACGACGCCGAATTTATCAAAGATCACGAAATCGATGCATCACCTCGTCGCGATGGCTTTCACGACCCCGATTTTAACGACCGAATCGACTACCTCCGCAAAACGTTTCTAAATCCCATCAGGTTTCCCGACTTGTACAAATCCGCCAACATTTTCCCCCCGAAAGGAATGTATTTCTTCGGCACTGGAATAAATGAGCGTGCCCTGGAAACCATTAAAGAATTCTCGACCGACCTGGGCGAAGAATTGGGGGTGGAACGGGTCAGAATTTTTCGAACGACGCATATCGACGCGTACACGAGCTGTGAAGGGACCGAGACTTTCTTCGTGGATGAGGTGTTCGCAGCAGCGGAAAAGTTTAAACCGTCGATAATATTTTTCCCAGAGTTGGACAAGTTTGGGACACCACATAGCAGTAAGTTTTTAAATTTTTTGAAATTCCGAAAAAGTGTTAAATTTTAGTATGCTTTGTGCATATGCAGCATAAAGTATCCAATTATTTAATTGGTGTATTAACTATAATCGAATTAGCAGAGTGATATTATGTACATATGTGTGTACATATCGCGCTGCGTTATTTTGCATAGCGTTTGCAAAATTTTGCAAACGCTAAATTTCAAATTTTAAAATTTTGCTAAATTTTAAATTTTAAAATTTTGCTAAATTTTAAATATGTTACACCCTTAAGGAGAATGTCACACTTTTGAAAAATAAATCCACTCAGAATTGTAAATTAAGTAAACTACTCAAAATCCTGAGCAAATTTTACTATGGATTTATTTTACTTAATTTAGAATTAAAAATGCATTTACTTTTCAAAGGGACAACATTATTTTATTTAAGAGGGTACCTGAAGCTAAATATTTTGGTATTTTTTAATTATTTTTTTAAACATGCCATAGAAATTGGGTACTTTGATGAAACAAATTGAAATTTTCGGCCTCTTAACTCAAAACAGAGCATATAGTCTGTCCACGGCAAGTTGAACCCGGAGATATGGAAGACTAAATCCCGGCCCATGCTTATTAACGTTGAACTGAGTTTAGTCTCCCATATCTCCGGGTTCAACTTACCGTGGACAGATAGTAGGTACTGTTTAATTTTTCGGTTCTTTTACTGCCCGCCTGCAATGCTTGCAGTCACGTGATGGCGAAGCAAACCAGACATGTCGTGTTTTCATCCGAAAATTTTTGGGTCTTAAAATGATTCCAAAATTATTTGCATATATTATCATGAATTTTAGTGTGCCAAAAAACTTGTGACAAAAAAATTCCTGGTACTTGTAAAACGTGGGTTCTAACGTGATGTATGTATGCTACATAATGATCTCCCCATAAGACGGCATCCATCATGTTGCCAGTTTTTACAACTACAAAGAATTTTTTTTTGTCACAAGTTTTTTTGCACACTAAAATTCATGATAATATATGCAAATCATTTTGGAATCATTTTAAGATCCAAAACTTTTCGGGTGAAAACAAGACATGTCTGGTTTGCTTCGCCATCACGTGACTGCAAGCATTGCAGGCGGGCAGTAAAAGAACCGAAAAATTAAACAGTATAACGTTCATGTTTTGCAATTATATAATTTTTTATAAATTTTTATCTAGCACGACGTGACGAAATCGTGGCGAAAATTTGCTATTACATGGACGCCCTCGTCGCTGGGGAAGTCTTCGTCTTCGCCACCGTGGACGCCACGCCGCCCGCCCCCTTCAATCGGCTGAACGGTCCCCCCCCGCTTCTCAAAAGGGTACCACGTCGCGACAGCCGTTCTAACTTCAGGGGTTCTTGCCTTTCTCAAGACGGAAACGGAAAAATGGAAAATTTCCGAAGAAACTAATTCCCGGGATGAAATCTTAGCCAAAGTTTCCGAAATCCTGGGCAGTTACCCCGATCCGATAAAACATTTCGACTTGACGACCCTTTGTCAGGAAATGTACCACACGATTATGCAAGAATCGATGAATAGTGCGGGGAAACATGCCTGTGATTGTTGCACGTGTCCCCCGCCCCCGCCCAAATTTCCTAGTTTGCCCCAGTGGGAGGCGGGAATTAAGGCGCACGTCAAACCAACAGAGGCGACTAAGGCGGCAGTGGCAGCGGCATCGGCACCAGAAGCGCAGCCGCAAAATGAAAAATGGGACGAATTTAAGGTGGAGGAGGATCTAAGTTTTAAAAAAAATGGCGGGTTGGCGGGACAAATTCAAATTTTGCGGGGGAATATAATCACCCCGCTAAGGAATAGGGACAAGTTGAGACAACTCGGGTGGCAGGTAGAGCCTGTGCGGGGGATTATTTTTCATGGTCCCGCAGGAACGGGGAAAACGTTGCTGGGGAAAACTTTAGCGGCGGAGTTGAGTCGGCTAGATGACGGGAAAGGGAAGTTTGCCTTCTTTTATCATAAGGGGACGGAGTGTTATTCGAAATACGTGGGGGAAACGGAGGCCAAGTTGAGAGCGATTTTTGCCAATGCGGAGGCGAAAAAGCCGGCGATAATTTTTATGGATGAGATCGATGGGATTTGTAGGGTGCGGGATGAAAGCGGTGAGTTGTTGGAAATTTTTGTCAAATTTGATACAACAATATTTTTGGAAAGTTTGAATCTCCGGAAGGTTTATGTGATTTGGTTTTGCATATATACTCAAGAAAATTTAGCATATATTGAGTAAATTTACGAAGCTCCTTTTTAACCGTGAAGGAATTTGCAAAATGTGACTAAGAAAACTTCTACAGTTTATGATTTCGCATACTCTAGAATATTTTTAGCCTAATGACGGGTGTAAGGATTTCGCAAGTTTAGAAAATTTAAAGATACAGAATTTTGGCGTGCATAAATTTTCGAAATAGACTTACGTAAAATACGTAAAGTTTATGAGAGAAAATATATTTCCGGTATCCGAGAATCCGAGTTAAATAGTTTCAATTTGCAATTTTGGGAAATAATTTGGCTAAAAAACATTCCAAATTTTACGAATTACTTAAATTTGCTAAAAGAATCTTACTTCTTAAGTAAGAGTTTTGCAAAGTGTTTAAAATTTCATATGTCGAATTCTTAGAATTTCGATTCCGATTGAGAATTATTTAGTTATACGGTTATTTTATGAATTTTTAAAAATTTCTGTCGTTTCAGCTTCTAAATTCTACACCGGCGTGGTGACCACAATCCTCGGTCTGATGGATAACCTTCCCCGGGGAGAAGTTTTCGTCATCGCGGCGACCAATCGTCTCACCAGTCTCGACCCCGCCGTCCAGGTCGATTCGACAAATGTGTCGAATTCCAAGCACCAAAGTTTGCCGGGCGAAAGGCAATCTTGCAAATTCACACGGCCACGTGGGACGCAAAATCGAAAATGGAAGACAACTTTGCAGATGAAATCGCACACATGACTGGCGGATACACGGGCGCTGATTTGGAACAAGTTTGCCGCCAAGCGTTCACCTTTGCGATGCGGAGACATTCTCAAAATGCCCCAGACAATAATATCCCGCCAGTTGACTTTGATGGTTTAATCGTGCAAAAGCAAGATTGGTACGGCGCACTGAAATCGGTCCCACCAAATGGGACGAATTATTTTGGAAATGCGGTCATTACGGACAAACCGATTCCCGCGGGGGCCGCGGCCGCACTGAAAGGAAAAGTGGACGAAATTACGAAGAGATTAGCGTATTTTATTAGACCGGAAGTGAGCGGGAGTTTGGATATGGAGTCAAAATCTAGCGGGGCTCTGAATAGTTTCCTGATTTGGGGGAATGATGCGAAACAGGTTGGTAAATAATTTGCATATTCACGCAATCCTTTGTAACCTTGCAAAATCCATAAACTCTATAAATTTATTAACATTAGCAAAACTTTACAAATATTTTGAAAGAAAATTAGATTTTTTATAAACTTGCCCAGCTTAAGTGCGGCGTCAGACAGTCTATTACAAATTTTGTAACAAAATATGGATTTTTTGTTTTCAAAATTTGCAGCTCAAAGTGATCGACCATTTGTTAATTCCCGCCCTCCTTTCCTCGCCCGGATTTAGTTCCGTGGTCGCCGCCAAGTTCGAAATTCCTCCTCTTGGTGTAGGGTTGGAAGTTGTAGAACGCCGCATTTCCGCCACGTTTACTCAGATCCTTAACCCGGGTGAGGATAAACTCGGAGTTTTATACGTTCCCGGGATCGATCAGTTGTTGAACGGGAGGATTGGCAAGTTTTCGGAAATGAAGGAACACGACCAGATTTTGGACAGTTTTGAAATCCTGCGAGGAGAAAAAGTCCTCCTGCTCGGGACAGCTACCGGTTCGCCGGACCAGATGAGTGACAGGGTTCAAGGGCTGTTCAGAGGTGAGTGAACAGCACGCTGTCAAATTTTGAAATTTTGGTGCAAAATTTTACATTTTGTACATTTTTATACACTTTCACAAAAAATTGTGCGTTTTGCTTAAAAAATATTGGTGACTTTTTACATTTTGATACAAAGATTTGTATATTTTGTGGTAAATTTTTTACTCATTTTACAAATATTGATACAAAATATTGATACATTTTTTTCGTGTACGGTGCAATTGCATAATTTTGCTCTTTTGATGCAAAGCTTTGATAATTATTTTTGAATTTAGATTCATTTGATGCATTTTGATACAAAAATTCAGTTAGTTTGCAGTTGCTAGCAAAATGTTGATGTGTCTTTTGTATTTTAAGCAAAAATTATATTTCTTTGCGGCAAAATTTTACTTAATTTTTATTATTTTGACACACATTTTTTATACTTTTTTATGCATTTTTTAATACAAAATTTGTCTCATGTTTTAAGGCCTGAAAAACACTCGGCATTACGAATTCACTGGCCCAAATGCAACCGAGATACGACTCGCATTTTCCCACATTTCTGGAAAGATTCCGACCACCGCGTTTGAAAAAATTATGGCAAAATTAGGCGGCCTAAATGAAGGAGGAGACGAGTTTAGTGCCAGAAAAAATTTGACTTTGTACGATTTGCTCGATTTTAAGGGGGAAATTTCCCAAATTTGTGCCCAATTTGATCTAAAATCAGTATAAGGAGAGGTAAAGGATGAAATTAGTGTCGCCCTGAAAAATGCGACGAACGCCTTTTGCTCATATTTGGACGGGCGGGAGAAATACAAATCTGCCCTCTCCACCATGTACACTTAGACAACTTATCCTTAGGTATTTTCTTATCTTTATAGAATTGGTGAATACTAATTACATACAGTCAATGGAAAAAGTATTGGCAACCCCCACGCCAGCTAAATAAAATTGGCTGTAACGTTGGAATGCATTATACAATTGGCATGAAAATTTGTAGGCCTTTAGCAAATATAATGTAGTTTTCGATTATAGTCATGTTTTATTGATTAAAATTAGATAAACACAGTTTTTAAATAATTTGTTGCAAAATTTGCAAAATTTACCCGCAAAAAGTATTGGCAACATGTGGCCAAATTAATTACGCAAAACAATTTTCTTAATCAGCTACCACATTTCATTACGGTAAGTTAATTTGGTGAGGAAATATGATGTTAGCTACATTTTAAGTCTACAGTTATGTTGTCTGGAGGCAAAATGGCGACACCAAACGAGCTGTATTGGCGCCGCGAGAAATAATCATGTCTCTTTCACAAAAAAGCTTTCTTATCGAAAATTCAAAGAGAAAACATACTTCTCCATATTTACTATTGAAAACGTAGCCAAGAAATATAAAATGACAATCTCAGTTTCTACTTTTCCATGGTGCGGAAGAAAAAAGTCACCTACGCCCACGAGCCACTGATGAATCAAGCAAATTATCACTCGAGATCGGAAGATTTTAACCCCAAAAACCATGTTGAATTTGAGAACCAACTGTGGCGTCAACATATCATGCAATATTGTGATCAATCAAAAATCATGCCATGGGGTTTCAGGGTCCAGAAGCCCGACTGACGCGAGGGTCCCCAAAACGAACCAACTCAATAAATTCGAATGGACTAAATACCACCCTGAATAGACTTCCAATGAATAAAAAAGGTTCTGCTGGTCTGACATAAGCATATTTTACTTATTCGGAGCCAATTGAATGGTTCAAGTCTGGCGGATGCCATAATAGGCTCAGAAAAACGAATATGTTCCTATGACAGCTAAACACAGAAGAGGAGCGATTATGGTTTGGGGTTAAATGACTAGGTCGTGGCGTAGGTAGCTGGTCATTATCGATGGAATCATGACCAATGAGGTCCAAATAATCAGTCTAAACGATAATTTGAAATTATTTGATAAAAATCTGACCTATGAAGGAATTTTATATTCCGAAAATTCAGTGACCCCAAACATGTAGCCAATTTAACGATGCAAGGTTTTGGAGATCGAAAAGGTTAAGCTTCTTTCGTTGATTGCACAGTCTCCCGATGTGATTCTGATTGTCCGGATTGAGAAAAGAGGGACTGGTGGGAAACCACTCTTCGAAAAACGAGCTTGTCAAAAGTTCGAAGGAAGTGTGGGCAGCCATATAGAAAAGCGTTGTAAAGAAACTTGTTGAATCAATTCCACGGCGTATTTGTGCTCGTATTGTGTCGAGGGGAGGTGCTACGTAATACTAGAAGCAGTTTGTCATAATAAAATTGGCGTTTCTTTGATTTATGATTTTTTAAGTTAAGGGTCGCCAATACTTCTTGCGGGTAAATTTTGCAAATTTTCCAACAAATTATTTAAAAACTGTGTTTATCTAATTTTAATTAATAAATCATGATTATAATCGAAAACTACATTATATTTGCTAAATGGGTACAAATTTTCATGCCAATTGTATGATGCATTCCATGGTTATAGCCAATTTTATTTAGCTGGCGTGGGGGTTGCCAATACTTTTTCCATTGACTGTATATGTTAATCTTTAATGTAAATATGTATCAGTTCTGCATGTAACGAATAGATACATATGTTTGTACGTTTTGTAAATAGTCAATAATTAAGTTTGAAGTGAGCTTAAACTTTAAGTCTTCTTTGTACGATGGAATAAATCGTGAATGATTTGTCAAACATGAAATTAATTTTAATATGAAAGGAATAAAATTCCCCCAAATCTGAAATAGTGGTGACATGTCTCCTAAATAATTACCAAGTTAATGTCTCGTACACACATATATATAAATGAAATAATGTCTTGTGAGTAATTTATATAATTATGCAGAATAAGTAACGACTACTTTTAATAAAACAATTCAGGACAAACTTATGGGCTTACATATGTACATATGTACATACGTATGTGTACATTTGAGGCCGCAAAAGTATTTTTTGGAGACGTTTTAAGGCAACTTGTACGTTGTTTAACAGGTTTTTAACCATTACTTAAGTGGCATATCACCCTTACTTAGGAGTCATTTCGCCATTATTCTGGTGACTCGCTAATTTCATGTCTATGCAAAATTATTGAATTATAAATATGTACGAGTTGTGCAATTGTTAATAATCACGTAGTAATTATTCATGGAAAATGTAGAGGTTCAGAAAGCACATGTATCAAATCAGTTTATTAAAGTCATATTTTTAATTAGTTAAAGGTAGAACAATTGTGCAGTTAAACCATTAGCGTTGCGGTACTTGGGATACTAACGTGTGCATATCCCCAGCTCACCTGGGGCACAAAGGCAAGCTAGTCGGACAAATGTCAAAAACAAGCGCCACGTGCTCGCTCATGAAAATGTGTTTGCCATGCATTTTTCTCATGAACACAAAAACTTTATGATTTTCATGATCCTTGCAGAGGTTACAAATTTATTGCAGCGATGGTCAAAATATTCATTCATTTATTCGTTTTTTCGTTAGTATTCATAAATATATGTTACATGTACATGTGAGGGAGCACAGCTATGCATACCTTCATTAAACCGTTCCGTCGGATTGACATTTGGATGGTTCATTTGGTTTCCGGAAACAAGTTTGACCTAGAGGACAGGGGCAAGTTTTCCTAACACCAAATCGGACACACGGCCCGTCTGCCATGGGGATATTCGCGCAACTCTTGACTTCAATCTAAAAAAACACAAACTTTGAATTCCCTCGGATTGCATGACGCAGTTCAGTTTTTTATCATTAACCCGTCAAGTTGTAATTTTTTATGACTCAAATATCTAAAAGAAATTGCACTAATTTTTAGAACCACATGCATTATAAATTTGTCGTGGTAATTTTTATTTCATAATAGAATTAATAATTATTTTCATAATGTATGTAGTAGTAGAATTCTCATCAAACCGAAAGGTTAACCTTTCAACGACCAAGTACGCCCATTTGGGCAGAATATTATTTTCTGTTGAGGATGAAATACACTCTAAGAAACTCGGTAACTAAGTTATTACCAGGCGGAGTATCTATTTGACTCTACCGCATGGCAATTAATTTATTATCGAGTGGTAGAAAATTAGTTACCAACTGGTAATATTTTCAAATTTCGCGACCGGGGTTATTACCGGTTTGGTAACAAAATGTCTACCACTCAATAATAAATAAATTACCATTGTGATAGAGTCACATAAATATTCCGCCTGGTAGTAACTTTAATACCGGTTTATTTAGAGTGTGCACAAATGTGTGTACTGAATAAAATACATTGACACCAAAATTTCTATGAACAACGAGTTTTTCTTCGGTGTTTTGTGGAAAACTGGATGGATTTGTTCGATATTTCTCTTCCCAGATTTTGGAATTTTCCCTATGAAGACCAATGTTAAAAAGTGGATTTTTTCTAGTATTTCCTCAAAAAAACTGAAAAATTGGTCCACAATTTGAATTGTTTGCTATCAGGTGTAATTATGAAATTTACATCGTAGTTAAAAGAAATTTTGTTTTAAAATTGGTCGTATTTATTAAGAATTTATCAATGGGAAATTTTCAAGTTTTCGATAAGAAAAGTGTTCAAATTTAACATTTTGTCGGCATAGGATAATTGTGATAGTTTTTACCTCGTGGAGAGAAGATTCAGTGGCGGGGCTAGGATATTTTCAGACGTGGGCACAAGAAAAAAAAGTTCTGAAGAATTACAGTATGCAAATTATTTAATGGTACGATTTTTAATTTCAAATTCAAAACTAATTTTCCCAAGAACAGGTAAATATTAATGTCAAAATTATTTAGATGTTCGTATAAATATACGCGCCAATTATTGTACGTTCTTCTCAAAATGAGAAGGTGTTAGATGTTTATTCCCGATTTTGACTAATTTAGATTATTTCACGCTTAGAAGTAGGCGGACCAATTTTTTGCAGCTTCTTAAATGCACGTAAATATTTTCGCCAATGGCGGAGTTGTTAACTAAATTTTTCAGCCAAGTGAATTTTTTTCAAAATGCTGTTAATTTTCTTGTTTTAATCCGATTTCAAAAATAGCATATTAGCTCAGAGTGTCACTGAGGACATAATTTTTAAAAATCCATTTTTCCAAGGCTTAAGTCTTAAAAAATTAAAGCTTTTTTAATTTAAAAAATTTCGAGCTGACATGAAGTCTTAAAGTTTTTGGAAGCAGATTTTTTAACTGACGAGGACTTGGTGTTCGTGGAACTTTTGAGGTTCGATCAGTATTAAATTTTTACATTTTTTAAATTATTAAATTTGTTTAAATGTCACATTGTTTCATTCCATCAACCCAAAAATACTCCCAGAAATTGCCGAAATGGACAGAAAATTTTCGAAAGTATTGAAACCCTCTAAAAAGCAGAGATTACAATTGAATATGATAATGTAACTTTCTGACATCTACCAAATTTGTTCAAGTATCAAGGAAGTAGTAACAATAAATAATTCAAATCTGAATTTGGGTCCCGACGGAAACGGATAAATAGTCCGAAAACAGGAGTTTTTGAAAATTCCGAACGAATTCCCTGGCGGCCCTGGTGCGGGTACGGTTCAGTAAAGGCTCGACTAATGTTCGGCCAGATTACAAAAAGTAGTAGGATTCGTTAATATTTCCGTGCAAAACTCATGTTCGGGGCAGTGGAGAGGCACCAGACTCAAACATCTTGATTTTCTAATACAGGGTGGTCCAAGAAGCTGTATAAAAGTTTA